TTATAGCTGTTGCTATAAGTAACCTCTCCTACCAATTTCATGCGTTAAAAAAACATTTTATAGGCGCTCTCTTGTTCCAAATTGGGATAACTCGATTGTTTTAAAAGACAATTAATCATCAGGGCCCCTCTTTTCGTATTGTTACCTGATTTTTGCTTTTCTTTTAATGGGATCAATAGCGTGTCTTGCATATTTTGTGGTATTCTCAAAAATGTCCCGCTCATATTGCGGTGCTTTCGCTTTTGGGTTTCTGGCGAACAAAGTCTCAGCAGTGGCCGATATGCCGATATCATGCTATATGTATACACATGGTGAATCTGCATAAATTAAGCCATTCGAAGAGCTATTTGTAAGGCGGTGGGCAAGGTGGTAAGGTATTGGCCGGCTTCGTTCTACTAATCAGGAAACCGAAATCAAAATTTCGCTTTTTATTCGGACTTGGATTCGGATTCGAAAGAGAAACGCGCGACTAATCGTATGCCGCACAACACAATTTATTTGGGTAACTAAACCGCTCTAGTCGGCGGCTCATTTGCATTTAACTCTATTGGTTATTTGTTTAGAAACTACGAAGCGAAAAATAAAAGCTAGAAAATAGAAATTTATGGGCTCTGGCGGTGAGTAGTTGTGAGAGGGCATTTTAAATGAAAGCGAAAACGCTTCGATATGAGTGATTTTCTGGAGGTTTTTATTTTATTTTTTTTTTGGGAGTGGCTCCACGTAGAGGGCGACAATACGTGAGTAACTGGGCGATAATAACTCCCCCGAAAAAGACTAACCCGCAACTCAGTAACTTCTCACTTAATTTGCACCGGACTCTATGGGTTCCTCCGGTCTTCGAGACAATGGAAAACGACGCCTTATTAGAATGCGTGAGAAAGTTACTGTGAGAAACTGGAACCCGATTGTGTGGTAGTCAATTCCCAACTTGAGGCGGCGTTATTAGTCTTTACCGTGCCCTCATTAAATGGCTGAGAAAGAGTCTCTTCGCGTCTCTCGAAGAACTGACCCACAGATCTATCTCTACGCAGCCATTTAAATCCCCCTTTTATCACCTTGTCGACTCGACTTGAGTGCCATTTGTTTTGCCAAGCATTTTAGCCGAAGGAAAGCTCATAAATGTGCGAGAGTCTGGTGAAATTTTTGGGTCAACTATTGGTATTATGATCACGTAGGCAGAGGCAGCCGTGGAGTCGAGAAATCGCAATGGCGCTATATACACTATATATATTATTCTTAAAAGACACATCCTGCAACGTGCCACCTGCGCAATTGTCTGTATAATTTCCCCGTTCGATGCACTTCTTCTGTGGGTCACAGCAATGCGTGGTTCGGATTCTAAAAAATTCACCCGGTTTATATATAGCATAGCTACAGTCGCATTCCGCACGCTCCCAATTCGCTTTGGTCTCTTCTCTAGAACTAAAAACAAAACAAAAAGATCAAGAGACGCTGTTTGGGGTCCCAAATAAGACAAATTTTGACGGCTGCATCACTCGCCTTCATTTTCGGATATTTCTGAATGGGAATGGGAACGATTCTTCTGTTATTGCCGGCTATTCGGATTCGGGTTCGGATCGACCTAAGGTCTCGTTGAAGAGCCGCCTGATTATTTCGTACATGATGTACTACATCAGCGCGAGCGTGTTATTTTGTTATATTCTAAAAATATCTGGGGATGGGATGGTGACAGGGGCACTACAGGGTGGTGCACGGCTGGGGATCTTATGGTTCAAGTATGACGATTTTACGATTGTGTTTTGGAAAGCAATTTACAGGAAACGGCAGCCAGGGGAAGTCTTTTTGTAACTTCTGTTGTAACTTCGAATTTACAATTTAAGATCACTAAAGTTGCATTATTATATTAATTCTTAGAATACCTATACCCATTACCTTACCTATTTGCCTTATTACATTTTTAAGTTGACTTGAAAGTCGTTAAACTCGATAGAACCATAAAAGCACTTGGGCAAATAATTAATATAATCTGTATATGGAGATCTTAAGTTTCTAGCCCATGAATTTTATTAATGGTATCTATAAAGGATTAATTAATTGGCTATAAAAAAAGGTAATCCTATAAAAAGCAAACTTACTTCCTTATTTTCTTTCCCCTCTTTTAAAACACCCTGTTTGACATTTTATTTTTTATTAAATCAATTTGCTCATTTCTTATATATTTTTATTTTTGTCTCGATTCCTAATTCTCACTCTCGTGAGCATTTCGTGCTGGTCGATCGCGTGGCTTTCTCTGTTTTGAGGTTCCTTTCCTTGGGGCTCGCTCACTGCGGGGATTTGGATTCCGATTCCGATTTGGACTCGGGTGCTCCAACGTGGCCGAAAGTGGCAGCATTTAATTTTTAGTTGCACGCGAATTTCGCAGCGAAACAAACAAAATATATCCACGTCGAAACGGAACTAGGAAATACAGATTATATGTTCATTTTTCCCATACTGTTTGTACAAATCGTAATTTGTGAGTACGCGCTGAATCGCAAGACCCTTTTTTTTTCTTTCTTCTTTAATGACAATGTTTACGCAGCTGTGTGAATTCTTCAGATAAAAATGACAGATTAGCAAACCAAATTAGACATGCTGCTGAATAGTAAAAAAATAATAATAATATCTTTTCTGCTGCCTTTGCTTTGCAAATAAATAAATACAAGAAATACAAAGTTTTCGTGTTGATTTCTGTGTGTGTTGTCTTTAAAAAAGAAATATGTTGCCGCAGTGTTTTTCCAATGTGTTATTACTTCACAACATCATCGGCTATTTGAAAAGTAACAACTTGCGGATCGTCTATGATATACATGTGTTTTCATTAACCGACATGTGAGACATTTCAGATAAAGCCATCACTTACTACGTGTTTGTATAAAATCATTTTCGTTGACCTCCAGCCTTGCCCTGCGCAGAAAATCGCTTTTCCCAATGTGTTTTTGTGTGAAAATCTCATGACGTAATATCAGTTCACTAGGAAACTAAAAAGGAAATTATAATTGTGATCACTTGTTGAGTTCTTCGTTTTAATAATAGTATATTCACGTTAATTAGGCATCATTAAGGTGGGAATATAGAGCTTAAAACATCTGCTGACTGATTCAATCGGAATATTCAAAATAGTTTGACGTGTGGGTCGAAAATAGATGAAAGGTGTTGATTATGGCTATGAATATTGTCGGTCAGCCCTATTGAAATACTGAAGAACCAGCTGGGTTTTATTTAGCTAAACGACTTTTTTAAAAGGTTGATTTTTAATGTTATGACAACAAATAGATTGCACAATGTATTGGAATTTAGTTAAAGGTATTTGTAAAAAATCATTGACCGACAATAAATGTTATTTCATATTATTAATAAACAACATATTAGTCATAATCATATAAGGACTTTCAGAAGACTCAATAAATAAAGTTTCCTTGAGGACATTTTAATTACTAAGGAAAATATTTTAAGATTAAGCTATCCAAAAATCAGTTTACTTTGAAAAATGGGCAATTTCCATGCCGACTATATGTTCATTGATTTGGTAATCTCCATTACGATTAAATGAAGTCACAAACCAAATTACCATTGCATTGACCACGTTTTTGCGACTGTATTATGGCCTTTGATGCAACTGACTGAACAGACTGTTTAACAAATTTTTTGAACTCGTTTGTTAGCATTCTAAAAGCCATAAGTTGATGGCCTTCGTGTCTGGTTTTCTTTGACGAATGGAGTTGTGCCTGCATTATGTACATAACTTTATCTTTTTCGCATACCTGCCCATGTTCTCATGTATCTTTGTACATACGAATGCCTGTGCTAATATTACAGATTGAGATTGAAATGCCATTCTTTTGAGTGCAATTCTGATTTCACAATGAGAATTTAAGATCTCTAACTGCTCAAGCTATAATTTAGAAATTCTTGGTGCACTTTAATTATTTTTAATGACCAGTTTTTTGTTAGAAATCTTTTAAATTATCTGAAAAAAGGATATATAAAAAGGGACTTATCTTATCTGCTTGGTCAACAATTGATTAATCGATAATAAATAGTATTTATTAAATACCTCCCCCCTGTTGCGCTGTTTATATTTATTCCTATATATAGTATGTACAAAAATAGTTTATTATCCACTTTGCAGCTTATGTCACAAGTCTTTTCATAGAAAATAATACAAATAAGCCATAACATTTGCTGTGCCTAACCAACATCTGATAATATCCCATGCTGCAAGAACCCATCACCTCATCCAGTGTTCTATAATTTCTGTGTTCCTGTGTTTTTCGTTCTCTGTTGAAACTAAGGAAATGCGTTGAGTTGCAATTAAGGAAACACCAAGCTTTTCCAGCTCCAAATATGAAATCTAAAAGATCCACCTATCTATTGTCTCGAATGGAAACTTTGCAGCTAATGTGATAAGAAGTTTCAAGCGCCATCTCACAAAGTCAGCGAAAATGTCCGAGGATCTGGATGAGCTGTTCCTCTCGCCGATTCCGGCGCCCTCGCCTGTGGAACTGCAGCAGTGCATCCTGTTTGGCTTCCGGAGACGCCTCCATCCTGCCCAGATTTTCGAGGAGTGCCGCAATGCCTTCGGACCCTTTTGCCCCAGCGCCCAGTATGTGGCCAAGTGGTATCAGCGCTTTCAGGACGGATTCTTCAACATTGACGAGAAGGACGAGGATGAGGAACTGAGATTGGGGCACGGTGAAACACCCACAACCTGCAGTGAATACGATGACGATGAGAGTGAATTCGGTGAGGCGGCGACCGTTTTACCCCTGGTCCTAAACGAAATGATCAACCAAAGTGATGATGATGATGGTACAGATGATTTTGATAAGGATAGTGATGATGGTCTAGATGGTCATGTGATTGGTTATTGGCAAGGTTATGGCTATTTGGGTGGCAAGCAAAGGTATAGTTGGGTTGGAAATAAATTGTATGTATTGTCTCTCAGTTAAACTAATTCATAGAACTAACCCTTCTTTTCTTAAATCTTGTCTTTGCAGTGGTAACTCAGTTTGCGAACTGCCACCGCTGCCAAAATCTCTGATCGGCTTTAACAAACTATTGTGCTCCGATTCGGGACTCCTGAGCGATGTGGAAGGAAACAATAACAGCAGCGATATCAGCCAAAAACCAAACGACACTTTTACAGGGGACAGCCAGGTTAGCAGCGAGAATGCCATCGATAAGTCACTGCCCGCATCGCCAAACGGAAATACGGCTATACCAGCAATAGCAGCGAAATGCGAAGCGAAATCCCCCAGTTTATCCGCCAAAGGAAACCCCCAAGCAGTCGAGGCAGGCAGCACTCTGGATGCACAAATTGCGACGCTGCGGAAGGAAATGGTAAGATCTCAATCATATTTTATTGTATTGTTAATCGCAAATGAAAAGAGTTTTAATATCAGCTAAGATCGGTTGAGTTAGGGTTATAAAACATTATATGTTATAAGCGAGGGAAATGAAATCTTTAGTGGCACTTGTTTTATAGAACCCGCATTTATAAACTACGGACGTCAATTCGTAATAATTATTTGTAATTATAGCGTATATTTTTCTTTATCCGTTTAAAAATAAAACCTCTCCCTGTTAGAATATTATACTTGCATAAATTTACTCCTGATACAGAAATACCTTAAATTTCCCCAATGACTCAGTTTCAAAATAAAATATTTCAATAAATTTGCATTGGGACCAAAACAATTTAGTCGCCAATTTAATGATCATCCCAAAACCAGTTCTCTGACGAACACAGTTATTTTTATTCGAATGTTGTCACTCTCGGGCTCAAAAATATAACACACTTCTTAAGGGTATAAGCTGCATTTGGAAGTGAACTTTATTGACCTGCCTCGGTAAACTTTAGCTCAGCCGCCTAATACCGAAACTTCTGCGGCAGGGGCAAAGTCTAAATGTTGGCCGAACCTTTCACATTTAATTTTGTTCAATACACACTTGTATATATATTCCATGGTATTAATATGGCCATAAGAACCTGTTTAATACTCGCTTAGGCGTAGGTGTAAATACCCCACAAGCAAGCCTTGAGTTTAGGAGCGGCCATTTTATAGTATTGTCTCGGATCAAATCAAAACCGAAACCAAAAGTCTTCTGACTTTTTCGTGCTGCTCCGATTTAGACGTCGATCTGTGGCGGCGGTGAACAATTGGAAATAAATACTAAATTGTGCACCATTTAAAGCATTTTGCGCAATTTGCATGTCTGCTGTTGTGCAATATGGCTTTTAAGACTTGGCCGAGTGTCTTGGGCTCAAATTGATATATTTGTGGGCCACATTTCCTGTTGTAATGTTGTTATTATTATTATTATTATTATTACTCTTACACGCATTTCATATGGGTAGTTCTATTAGCTGTTACCTTTTGTTACATCAAAGCCTGGCGATTTCAGCCCAATGACACTTTAATTGGTCATTGTATTTACCCAACCATTTATTATTGTGTGCTATTTTTTCTGCGAGGCATTTAAATTTATTCGTTGCCACAATATCTCTGTGGGCCTTTGTTTATCTAACTCTACCGGGTCTTAGTCATTTGCTGGCCAAGTTGAAATGCCATTAAGGGAAGATAAACCCCCGGTTGTTTAGACGCCATTCAAAAGAAAACACAAATTTCTTGGTACTATAGATTTGAATCAATAGGGGAAGTGATTTTTGGTTTATTTTTTAAACTAATTACTATCTTTATTTGTTAGAGTATCGGTGTGTTGACCTATCTGAACTATCTTTTCTTGGTTTTTTATTTTCGCAAATGTTTCAGTTTCGGTTTCGGTCGGTTGATTAACGATTCAAGCTCTGATCGTTCAGTTCGGTGGGTGTGTAAGCCAGTAAGTATGGGTCCGGTGTGTGAATGTGTTTTATTTTATTTTTGTTGTTTTTGTTTTGCAATTATGTTAGTTGGCCGCTTTTGCTTTTGCTTTCGAATGCCGAACGGGGCAGAGATTGAGTGGTTAGCCTTCTTGGTGAACCCAAGTTATAGATACTGATATGCATTGTTCACTCACTGTGTACTTTTGATATAAAGCCGCTTTTACTCACCCAATATTGGACACGAATTGAAAGTAAATATTTGCTGAAGGTCAGCGGCGGTAGTTGGTTATTATTGGGTTATTAGATCAGCTTTCAGTCCGGGGCACAATGAGTTTTTGACGTGCCACCTTTAATGCGATTATGCATTCTATAGTTTGTATAGTTTACAAAGTGCAGTATTAGTTCAACTCGATGGGATATTTTTATTCAAAAGGATATATTTCATGTTTTCTCATAGAAAATGTTACCCAAAACTCAATTTCTCTGCATTACTCATAAACCCTGAAATCTTATACCCTATACCCTCCACATTAATAGATGATTGTCATGTCAAATTAGGCTCAATTGTTAAAGCCGCCATTCCCATCGCCATCAGCGGCACCATCTCTAATGTGTACAACGATGAAAATGAAGTAATAAACCTGGTTAATGCAATACAACGCATCGGGGAGAAATAAAAAGCACCAGGTAGAGTCGGTCGATCCAAGCCGATCCAAGTCGAGCCACAATGGGAGAAAACAGGAGTAAGACTAATCAGCGCATGCGCAGCCATTAAGCCAGGCAATCTGGCAACTTGGCAAGCGGGCAAGTGAGCAAGTAAGCAAGCTGCCAGCAAAGCAACAAAGCGGGTCCGCTTCAGCTAATTTATGTTGCTCTGCCAGATACCTCGGTTATGGCAGCAAATTAAATTTATGAACACAAAAAAGAGGCAACCAAAGCTCGAAGCTAAGTAACTAAAGAGCCAGCGGACAGTTTGTGAGAAGAAATGCATCAATGCATGAAATGGATTTTTACGGCTTACATAAAATGGCCTTGACTTGGGCATTCTTTCTCCAGCCTTAAGATCGTCGGCTACCGATTAAGCCTCAAGTCTCTCTCGTTGGCCAAGAAAGACCCCCATTTGCGGCTAATCTCAGCTGCTTCTCACTTGTTCCACTTTATTTGGCACATGCGAACCGAGCTCTGTTTATCAGACCGCGAACATGACACGCCAACCTCCCCGCCGAGGGCTTTATAAAGATATATATTCGTTCTGCAATCCATCTATTGCTTCATTTGCCTACCTCTCGAGTTGATTAAATCCGTGGGGTGTAATAAAAGGGTGTTGGAAAACCTAATGGGTCGGCTTTTATTTGCTTAATTCGTTTGATATATGGTATTTTAGCAAAAGATTGCCTAAAATGTTTAGTAGGTTTTATTATTTAACTATATTTATTTGTTTAAACAATATGTACTGGTTATTTTAATCTATACAAATAATAAAAATCGGATCATTTTATTTAAAAGGCAAAAATAGATAAACTACACTTTTTGTCATACCGGTAAATTTATGACGTTTGAAATAAATACAATAAAAAGAGCACGAGCCACTTCCATAAAAAGGCAAAATGATCGATAAATGCCACCAACTGGAATGGGGTTATAAAAATGTACGTTTCATTTCCCTATGCTAATTTTAAAATGCAAATATCTGGATTAAAACAAAATGGATTGCGGTAAATGGCAGCCAAACATCTGGGATTCGGATTCTCTTTTTTCCTACAGATAATTGTTGAAATTCCCGGCTTGTTTTCATTTCCTGATCTTCCGCATTTCTCAGCAAAGGTGCCGCCTTTTCAGCCGCAGAGTTTACGCATCAGTGCAGAAATCTTCGCAAATCTTTGATGTAAACTGAATGGCTTCCCGGCTAAAGATAGAACGCGCCACTATTTATCTTGGATCTTGGGCAGATCCATACATATATATAGTATACCTAGATGTGACTTTTATATGTATAAACGCAAACAGAGAGGGCAGTGGCAGCCTTGTCTGGCATTTGCAGCGTTCATTGCCATTTGGCGCTGCATTGCATTTAAGAAATACTTTTAGGGCTTCTGCTTGTGTCAAAGCCTCCTATTACCACGGGCCACTCAATATAAGCACTCTGAACAGCCCTAAGCAATTTTAGCGCAAAGAGCTTAGGGCTAATTAAATTGTCAACCAATATCGATTTGATTTATGACAGCAGTTGAAGAAATATGAATTTATTTTAGGTTCAGGAAGAGAAATAATTTTTAATTTTGTCTTCAAAAATATTTTTTAAAATCTTTATCATCTGCTCAGAAAATTAAATTGGATGAACTGGTTTTTCAGTACATTCTGATCTGATTTTTTAGATCCAAATCAAAAATATTCTTACTTATCTAGCAGTTGACCTACATTGATCGGTAATTTCTGGTCAAGCCAACTAATGGTATTAGCACAATTCTACTTATTTAGATCAACTTCCCACGGCTAACCCTGCAAGTATGTTAATTAAGTATGTTAATTTGCGACTAATTCACATTCGAACCAAGGCGACGCCCCCGCCAGAAGTGGCAAAAAAGGTTTTGTACAACCGGCATTAAGCTGCGAAAAACTGGCACACACTCACACTTAACTTGGCTCATGGAAAATGGGGGAAAATGGAAAAAAAATGCAGATGGACAGTTTTTAGTGGAGAACACGTAGATACTTCCTCATTGTTGGGAAAGTTGAGGAAAAGCGGAAAAAAGCAGATGCAAAGGTATTGAATATCGACGAAGAAATTGTTAACCGTATTCTAGACGGAAGTGAAGAAAATTGAGTTTTGTGGTCTTTATATGGAACCGCAAAGGGAAAGCCGGTACAGTTGATTTATGGTTTAGAAAATATATAAATATTTAAAAACCATTTAAGTTTCATTGCTTAATTTATTAAAATATTCATAAAATTTTCGAAATGAAATGTTAACTTCCATGCTGCTTAAATTTCTTTTATTTTCGCATTCAATTCTTACTTTTTTATTTGGTTTTATTATACCCGTTACTCGTAGAGTAAAAGGGTATATTAGATTCGTGCAAAAGTATGTAACAGGTAGAAGGAAGCGTTTCCGACCCTATAAACTATATATATTCTTGATCAGGATCACTAGCCGAGTCGATCTAGCCATGTCCGTCTGTCCGTCTGTCCGTCTGTCCGTCTGTCCGTCTGTCCGTCTGTCTGTCTGTATGAACGCTGAGATCTCGGAAACTACAAAAGCTAGAAGGTTGAGATTTTCCACGCATATTCTTGGGCTTCCTACGCAGCGCAAGTTTATTTTAGCCGAGTGCCACGCCCCCTCTAACGCCCACAATCGCCCCCTAACGATTTTAAAATGTGTCTGACGCCAACACCTTTTAAGATTTCCGAGAAGTATAAATGCAATTTGGTTGTGCATATTTATACCTATCGAAATGTAGAAGACATTTTTCAAATCGGACCATTCATTAAAAAGTTATACGCAATCAAAATTTCTATATCTATCTCCCTCGCACTCCCTGAGTTACGATTATTAGTCGGGACACCAACCCGACTAGTGAGTGACGGGTATTAGATAGTCGAGACACGAACCCGACTATAGCGTTCTCTCTTGTTTTAATTTGCATTCAGTGGGAGTTGGCTGAAGCGAAAAGGCAGGCTTGAGCGGATTTTGTTAATACCACGAGATGCTGCCGCGGTTGCAGAAAGTTTTTCTGCTTTTCTTTTCGCGCGATATTATGCCGCGATATTAATTGACAAATGAGATTTTTCCTTCCTACTAGACAGCGACAGGGGAACTTTCATTTTGACCACAAGCGTCATGTTTGGCGGAAAATACAGGCCAAGGCTTTAAGAGGACACGAGTATTTGGGATTATTCATGGCCAGCCAGACAGATGTGCAATTCGGATAAGGCAATCTAAATCTATAAAATGTAAAGTAACTATTTTGCAAATGATAAATCAATGGAGATACACCCATATCGACAGTAACTAAGTAACTTTGAAAGTTGGAATACATTTTAAAAGCCTGAAAAACATGTTTAATAAATAAATAAATTTAATCAAATGGGAAGAACAAAATTTATACCTGACCTATTTTATTACTTGAAGTTGTCTTCTAAAATTATAAATCAAATAAAAACCAGCTTGTTCTGCTTGTAGCCTGTCTATATTAAGTCGTTTAAAAGATTTCATGAATTTATTAATTATTTTTGAATATAGAAAATAAAAGGAAATCTACTATCAAATTTAATTTTAATAAAAAAAACACTTGTCACATAAGAAAGACCCACCCATTCCGGTTGTATAATTATCATAATAATCTTGTTTTATTTAATTTTTCTAGAACGGACTGCGTCAACTAGATCTCTCGTTGCTTTCACAACTGTGGGTGCTAAACGAATCGATCCAAGAGTTCCGGGCCCTGATCGAGGATCAGGAGAACGAGGATGAGGACGACGAGGTGGAGAATGGCAACGAATTGGATGAGGAGGGCAACAGCAGGATTTCCTCGTCCGTGGAGTCCGTGAGATTCGAGGGCGCTGCAGATGGACGGTCGAAGCATCTGGGAACCATACCAAAGGTCATAACGACGCAGCCAAAGGTGCTCAGGGATTCGCTGGGCAATAAGGATCAGAAGCCGGTGCCCCGGATGCGAAGTGCCCCCCCACCGCCGCCGCCTGCCGTTTTGCAAGTGCAATCCTCTTCCGCCTCCTTGGAGCGAAAACCACCGGCACCTTCACGGCCCACATGATGTTACCTCTCGGACTTCCTCGCCGGAGTCAGGACGGTCATGTGCAAGGCGATCGTGAGCGATGTGCCCGTAGCCTCATCCCTTGGAGGAGATGGATCCCAACCCAGATGCCGATCCCCATTCGGAATGCAGGACCAACCGAGCTGTTTGGGCAATCAAAGTGGCCTGCTCCAAGCATAGTTTTAGTTTGATATAACCGATAAATAAGGTGTACGAGCGATTTACGAGCGAAGAACTGATCTAAATTTTGGGTGACCTACGTAGTAGCAGTTCTCGAAATGCCCCAAAAAAATGAAATCCTGTTTTGAAGCCTAAATTAACTGCTGCTTACCTCAAATATAAGGAAGACCCAACATATAATATTAATTGGTAGAATTCGTAAGACCAACCTCTATATGGTTAGGAGTCCTTTGTGATCTTCAGTTGTAAGTTTATTGTACATTTTTTCTCTTTGTGGTTTGGGCTTGATGGGTTTCACCGATAACTTTTTGTTTTTGTTTAATAGCCTTAAAAAATATATGTCCTGGATCTAGCTAGATCCTGTGGTTAATATGTTACTCCATGCATTTGACCAGTAACACTTGTATATACTATAGCAATTTTCCTGGCTAGCTGCTGAACATTTTATAAACCTAACGAAAAGCATAAAGAATAAAAAAACTTGAATGAAGCATTGTGTTTGTATTTTTTTTACATATGGTATATGGTTTTTAGACCAGACTGACGCCACTGACGCCTATTTGAACGCAGGGAAAATCGTATCCTACCACCTGACTGCTACTGTAGTTGGTATAGAAGGTGGGACAGGCCTTGACCGCAGCTCCCTTTATCTGTAGGGTTACTTTGAGGCATATGTCCACGGAGGCCAGCGAGATCACAGGAAGACAATATGTGGGCGGTTTCGAGGGATCAATGGAAAACGAGGCCACCGAAGTTCCATCCATGGTAGCTCCAAAATCTATATTTCCACTAGGTATACCAATTCCGAGGGTGAGGCATACTTAAGGTGGTAAATTATTGAAATAGTTGTTTTATAATGGTATCTCAGTTACTTACGAGTGCTGGTCTCGTTCATGGGACTGACCGAAACACTCTGGCAACAACTGCAAGACAACGTTGCGGAGCATTGGCAACCCTGGCTCTGTGCGGCTGATACTGTTAGTCCTGCGGCATCTATTTCGTAACTTAAATTGGCTATAATGGCCAGGAGTCCAAGCAGAAGGGCATAGGATTTTACCATGGTGATGCCTCTAAAATGTATCGCCAACTGTTCATCAACTATTCCAGCGGGTACTTTTTGTCAACTTTACTTCTCCAGCGTATTAATTACTCATAATATAATTTTTCGCAATTTAATTAGTCTTTCGATAGGGTCAATTAATTTGTGATAGTCTGCCATTTAGGTAAATTGATGCTAGGTTCAAAAGTCAAAAAATATGTAGGTAGGGGAGAGTGGGGGAATTTCGTCACAGGGGCAATTTCGTCACCTGCAATATCTCGGAATCCATAAGTCGTAAAAATATATAATTTTTTTGTTTTAGTCCTTCAAGACGGCCAGACACAACCAATGCATTTGTTTTGCACAGAAGGCCAAGATAATTAAGCTATAATATTAAATGTGTTTTAACAGTTCAAAAGCTACATTTAGTTCTCGACGAAATTTTTTCTGTATGCCACAATTCAAAAGGAATAAGATACACGATTTTTTATATAATACACAGTGCTATAATGTGCATTTCTGCGTCAGCGATTTTTAACTTCGCGCCTATTTTCGCAAGAAAAATAATTATTTCTAAAAAAGTACGGTCTGGGGAAATTTCGCCACCCTACGCTAAGGGTAAATTCGCACCTATTTTAAATACATATTTTTATATTTGACGAGCTGGCTAACGAACAGACTACCAGCAGCAGCAACAAATATAGGACGTCAACAAAAATGGTACGCTTGATCAGTGTAGCATATTTTCAGGCGTTAAACTCCCTACATTTTTCAGGTGACGAAATTTCCCCAGTTGTGTGGTGATTTTACCCCCCTGTGTGGTGAGATTGCCCCAGTATATTGGTTTTAGATTTTATTTTTTTATAAATCACCAAGCTAATTAAAAAAATAGGGGAATGTCACATTTTAAAGCTTTGTCCTAACCGCATTCAACAATAAAAATATAAATATGATAACGTGTCTCAAGATGGACAAAAAATAGCTTTGAAAAAATGCTGACGAAATTCCCCCACTCTCCCCTACTTTAAATGATATAAAACAATCCCAACATTTAGATTATTAATTAATGTATTTAATTAATGTATTCAATTAATATATTATTTCACATCAAATTAAGACATTTTACCATTATCTACAATATCAGTAGCGCCACCTGTCGACGTAGAATCGATGTAGAGTAGAAAACATGTTGTATAATTCAGCTTTTTGTCATTCAGCTTATTAAATAACTTTTCCGTATTTCTAAAACATTAGGCATTTATTTAAATGAATCCATCAAATGAAAAGACATGGTAACATGTGCAGGTGGCAAAACTAAAATGGTAACATATAAACGTTGAGATCACTCTTTAACAATGCGAACAAGTTTTTAAATAAATTCAAAGTACTTTTTTATGGGCGTCCAAAAGAAATGCTAATAAGTAGTACCACGGATAAGAATATACTGGTGAAAAATTAAATAAAATACACTTTTAGAAATGTCTTTAATCTTTTTATCCGGAGAAAGGAATAATTGCAATTACATATTTTTTTCTTTAGACATTTTTACTCATGACTGAAGGACTTAAAGTATTTTGTATTATTTATTTAATGGGTAGACTAGATTTTATACGTATTAAAAAACTATTGTGCTTTTCGCATAAGTGTGCCAAATTTGTTTTTTTTACGACCTATGCAGATCTTTGCATTAAAAAAAGGTATTGTTGCGCTATATGTGCTATCCATGCCGCAACCAGTTTTTCCATTAATGGCAGCACTTAAAATCTATGCACTTCCTGAGTTGTATAAAATAAGATGGGAAATGCTTTGGATGCTTCAGTATAGCTCGTGAACATCAAGATGGTTTCAACGAAGTTGGTAAGCACATCATCAGAAAGGAACTCTAAATCCTTTTAGTCTAAAAAAGTTTTGTTTTTATCCTGTGATTTCCTTTTTCTAACAGCTCCTCTTTACTGCTCTGCTGAGCATTATGGCCACCAGTGGCTCGGCACAGGGGGATTTTACAAACTTTGGATTACTTGGACCATCTAGTCCGGCGCTGCAGTCATTCAGCAATTTCGTTTCATATGTGAAAACGGAGTTCTACTCATTGATACCCACCAAGGATGGCTACCACTTTAAGTAAGTAATCTGGGTACCAAACAGGGATTTTAAATAACATATAATTCATGTTTCAGATTGGAAGAACCTAATGGCAGCATGCGCGAGGAAATGGTTATGTTTCTTTATCCTGGAACGGACCGACAAGAAACGGTGGTGATGGGATCCTACTCCACTTACGATAAAGAGACCAACACCGATTCTGTTACCATGTATGTGGCCGATAAGAAGGGTAATAGAGCCCGTTACCAAAATAAGGTCAGAAAACTGCCTATTATGTGTCTCAAGTCCTGCACTGGATAATAATGGAAAAGTAACAAATATAAAAATGATGTATTTATTCCTATATAATTTAACTATATTTATGCTCCTCAAAAGATATAACTAGCAAAACAAAAAGCACAGGTAGTTTTTCTTCAAATTTGATTTACGTGATATGAAGATCAGTTGATTCCTACTCTACATGTTCTTTCCTAACTTCGGCATTTAAATGGGGAATCGATGGTTGCTATATTTTTGGATTCGTTACGAATTCCCAAGTTAAACTGCGTTTTCCAAAAAATTCCCCGACGCAAGGATTCTTAGCAAAAGGACCTCAAAGTTCGAAAAATGCTGAAATTGGCCAATTTTCCAAAGCTCTCAGAGGCAAACGGATGCATTGTTTGATTCGATGTTAAAGTTTTTTTAAAAGATACACTCTTTATCTTTCAAACCCCATACTTAGAATAATTTTAGGATTTTTTTTAAGGCAGAAATAAATTCCAGAAAACATAGTCAAAAAACTTAAAAACATACAGCTGCGGTCAAAATAGTAGTAGAGTCGCCGCCCTGTGTTTTTAAAAGTTTGATGTTGTAACTTTTTTATCGAATTAGTCTAATAGTAAAATTATAATCAATACAATATTACCAGGAAAAGATCAATTTTCAAAATTTCAACAATAAAGGGAACGACCCAAAATGGTTCCTGTTGAAATAGCTGTTATTTGTTGAAAAGTTTCACTGAACTTAAAACATGTAAAAGGTAAAAAGAACCACAAATTTGCATTCTAAGTTGATCTTGAATTACCTAATGCGTACTTGTGATACCAAAATATTACAGAGTTGCTATGACTTTTAATAAAAAAAGTTCACAACTCTGGTTTTCAACGATTCAAATTTCTGAAAGTTGACTTTGTATTAACTGAGGACCAAAATTCAACAATTCAACAGTTTAGGGAATACCCAGAATGTGAACAAGTTTTTAAGTAAATTCAAAGTACTTTTTTATGGCCGCCCAAAAGAAATGCTAATAAGTAGTACCAGGAATGAGAGTATAATGTTGACAAATTAAACAAAATACACTTTTCAGAAATGTCTTTAATCTTTTTATTCGGAGAAAGAAATAATTCAGAAGTATTCATTTTAACTACATAATTACAAATACATATTTGTATTTTCTTTAGAAATTTTTCTCAGGACTGAAGGACTTCAAGTATGTTGTATAATATTTTGTAGATATTTTGGGTAGAGTAGATTTTATACGTATTAAAAAAATTATTGTGCTTTTCGCATAAGTGTGCCGAATTTGTTTTTTTACGACCTATGCAGATCTTTGCATTAAAAAAAGGTATTGTTGTGCTACACGAGCTGTCCATGCCGCAACCTGTTTTTCCATTAATGGCAGCACTTCAAATCTATGCACTTTCTGAGTTGTATAAAATAAGATGGGAATTGCTTTGGATGCTTCAGTATAGCTCGTGAACATCAAGATGGTTTCAACGAAGTTGGTAAGCAGATCATCAGAAAGGAACTCTAAATCCTTTTAGTTAAAACAAGAGAAAACGCTATTGTCCCGACTATCTAATATCCGTCACTCGGCTAAAGGGAGTGCGAGGGAGATGGATATATAACATTTTTTGATTGCGTATAACTTTTTAATGAATGGTCCGATTTGAAAAATGTCTTCTGCATTTCGATAGGCATAAGTATACACAACAAAATTGCATTTATACTTCTCAAAAATCTTTAAAAGTGTGGGCGCCAGACAAATTTTAAAATCGTTAGTGGGCGATTGTGGGCGTAAGAGGGGGCGTGACGCTCGGCTGAAATAAACTTGCGCTGTGTAGGAAGCCCAAGAATATGTGTGGGAAATCTCAACCTTCTAGCTTTTGTAGTTTCCGAGATCTCAGCGTTTATACGGACAGATAGACTGACAGACGGACATGGCTATATCGACTTGGCTAGTGACCCTGATCATATACTTTATAGGGTCGGAAACGCTTTCTTCTCCCTGTTACATACTTTTGGACGAATACAATATACCCTCTTACTCTACGAGTAACGGGTATAAAAATGTTGGTATTATCCTGTGATTTCCTTTCTCTTGTAGCTCCTCTTTACTGCTCTGCTGAGCATTATGGCCACCAGTGGCTCGGCACTGGGGGATTTTGCAAACTTTGGATTTCCCACCAAGGATGGCTACCACTTCAAGTAAGTAATCTGGGTACCAGACAGGGATTTCAAATAACATATGAGTGATTCTTTGTGAAACGTATCGAGATTTTCTTCATGGTCTCAAAACGATATCTAATTTTTATGATACTATCACACCATTTAAAAAGGATTTTTAAAAAAGTTTAAAAAAAAATTCATTTGACAGAAGCCAAGATATGGCGTTGCTATTTTTTTGTTTAATTCATTTATAATTTTAAATTACGCGGGATAAAAAATAAATAAAAATACTCAAAAATTATTATTTTTGCCAAGCTTTCAGATAAAAATAACAACCATAATGGTTCCAATGCAAAATACGGTCCAAACTTTAAAAAAAATTTTTCATTCGCGGTTTTCTGCAAATCGGCATTTTTAATCTTTATAAAAAAATAGTATAATGTTCTATACATAATTCTTGTTGGCTCCTAAAAGTTTCGTCATGGGACCTCCATTACTTTCTGCATAATTTAATAAAACATTAAAAAACAAAGCAGTCTTTCGTTGTTATACATTAAATTATATTAGACGAACAGTTTCGTTCTTCATGAATTCCGGGAGAACGATCGTTCCCATTTAGGTAAAACCAATAGGAAAAATGCAGTTTTGTATAACAAATAAATCCCTACCAATTTCAACGTGGGACAATAACTTCTTGCTAATTATTTAGTTCTAAAGAAGAACACTCGAATATATAGCAACACATTACATCCAAGCTAAGACCATTCCAGGCTCCTGGTAAATAACGCACCACGTTCGGTTCATGTCGCTCCTTGATTCCCCCTGTGGCGGCGCTCCACTGTTGTTTTAAGCCTCCTTACAATGATTTGTGTATTGGGAAAATTTAAATGTCTTCAGCGAATGACTATCTTTTTAAAAGAGTTTGCTATTAGGTGTTGGAGCAATATGATGGTGCTTTTGAGAACGTGGAATGGTCTTAGCTTGGATGTAAGGTGTTGCTAACGTGTTGTTCTTCCTTAGAACTACATAAGTAGCAAGAAGTTATTGTCCCACGTTGAAATTGGTAGGGATTTATTTGTTATACAAAACTGCATTTTTCCTTTTGGTTTTACCTAAATGGGAACGATCGTTCTCCCGGAATTCATGAAGAACGAAACTGTTCGTCTAATATAATTTAATGTATAACAACGAAAGACTGCTTTGTTTTTAATGTTTTATTAAATTATGCAGAAAGTAATGGAGGTCCCATGACGAAACTTTTAGGAGCCAACAAGAATTATGTATAGAACATTATACTATTTTTTTATAAAGATTAAAAATGCCGATTTGCAGAAAACCGCGAATGAAAATTTTTTTTTAAAGTTTGGACCGTATTTTGCATTGGAACCATTATGGTTGTTATTTTTATCTGAAAGCTTGGCAAAAATAATAATTTTTGAGTATTTTTATTTATTTTTTATCCCGCGTAATTTAAAATTATAAATGAATTAAACAAAAAAATAGCAACGCCATATCTTGGCTTCTGTCAAATGAATTTTTTTTTAAACTTTTTTAAAAATCCTTTTTAAATGGTGTGATAGTGTCATAAAAATTAGATATCGTTTTGAGACCATGAAGAAAATCTCGATACGTTTCACAAAGAATCACTCATATATCTCATGTTTCAGATTGGAGGAAGCCAATGGCAGCAAGCGCGAGGAAATGGTTATTTTTCTCTATCCTGGAAAGGGCCGACAAGAAACGGTGGTGATGGGATCCTACTCCATTTACGATAAAGAGACCAACACCGATTCTGTTACCATGTATGCGGCCGATAAGAAGGGTAATATAGCCCGAAAAAAAGAGAAAAAAGCTACGAAAATATGGTTTTTGCTCTTCCTAGTTGGTGTCTTAAGAGCAACGCTGGCTAAGAAAGTAATTCGTGGAACTGTCCAAAAGAAAGAATGTAAAAGTTTTAAGAATATAATTTCTTTTACCAAATGCTTTTTTAAACCAATGGTTATAAAAAATAATAAAAACAAAGGAAGTTTCAAACTAAATGTTTGTTATCATCTTTGGAAATACAAATCATTTACTGACTTCTCCTTTTTAACTTAACTCCTCAAATGTAGATATTGTATGGAAAATGGAATCTCCTGTTTCCTTAACGTTTTTCTTTTTATATGATTATATATGTAAATCAACTATACATATTCTAGACTATTTCACACTGCCGTGCAAATTTGTTTTACGAGATATGCAGATCAGTTGATTCCTACTCTACATGTTCTTCCCCAACTTCGGCATTTAACTGGGGAATCGATGGGACCGGTTTCACTTAATAATCATAGCAACTAATTATGAGGAATAAATACTTTTTTGGAGATCTATGCAGTTTCCAGGTTTTATAAATAGAGGTGTGCAGTGCTTCGGATGCTTCAGTATAGTTCGGTGAATTTAGCTCGCATCAAGATGGTATCAACAAAATTGGTAAAGTACTTGATCGAAATAGTTCATATTCTAATAATAAAAGTCAACTTATTTTGTATAATTTCTTAGTTACTTTTTACTGCCTTGCTGGGCATTTTGGCGACTGGAGGCTCGGCACAGGGTTTTGGGGATTTATTCGCCCAATCCACAAACTCGGCGATAAGTTTGTTTGACAATTTCGTGGCAGCTGTGAAAACGGAGTTTTACTCCTTGGTTCCAACCCAGGAAGGATACCGGTTCAAGTAAGTTATTAACATTTTTCAAGTAAAAGGATTTAAGTTAACGAAAAATAAATTTTCAGATTGGAGGAACCCAATGGCAGTAAACGAGAGGAAGTGGGCATGTTCCTTTATCCCGGAACGGATAAACAGGAGCTGGTGGTCATGGGTTCGTACTCCACATATGATGAAAAAACCGATACGGATTCCATTACAATGTACACTGCCGATAAGAATGGTAACAAAGCCCGCTATCAAATAAAGAACCGCAGACTGAGTGCCATGGTTCACAAGACTCTGGCTGGCTAAAAATGAAGTACCTATATTTTTAAAACTAAGAAGGTAATTGGTTTGACTGTAAAATAAGAAAAATATTTACTAAAAATAATAAGAACAAATTTAAGGACTGTAAATAAAAAATTTATAAAAAGCTTTCAAAAATGTATTGGCGAAACATACTTTTGGGCATTCACGATTTATCTTTAAATTGTTTAAGTATAAATATTCAAAGCATAACGTACGTTATTTTCAATATTTTCAATATATTATTTTCAATAACATATAAGTAAATATAGCAATACATTATAAAAATTAATAAGTTTGAAGTTAACATTAAATTTTGAAGTCCACGTTATAATTAAGATGATCGAATTTTATTAGGGAGATGCTTCAAAAGGAGGTAAATTCTATTTTCTATATTTTATTGGAAATAAGAGCAAAAACTTGGTAATAAATACGTGGAAGTGCATAAAATGCTTATTTACGACTTGTTATTTTGACGGTCCTATTATACAAAGTTTGTCAGAAAAAATTTCATAAAATAAATTGTGATTAAAAATGGTTCAGGTTTTAAAATACTTTTTGTTTTATTTGCAAATTGGTGAACTCTTCAGCTTTTAATGAACTTTGAATTGAAGTGTCGACGTTCAGAGCGTTGAACTTAAAGTTGACGTTTAGATTAATGGATGCACAGCTCAAGTCTGAATTTAAGTTTCATTTAATTACCATTCAGGAACAAATAATTTAAGCATCAATGGATTCAAAGCCGAACCTAAAAAGGATTTCTGGAGTCAGAATGAATCAGCAAGTGAACATCATAGATGGTTAATTACAAGTAATTACTCATCACATAGTAGACAATCATGTAAAAAACCGTGAAAACCCTTTTCAAAGAAAAAACCTGATTCGTTCAAAGAAAAAAAAAACAATTGTTGAGAATGCGCAGCAGAGTTTGGGCTTCACCTGTATAGAAAGTGAAATCACTGGTCAGACTATAAACCAAAATAAACTAGTTTCTGAACGTTCGAAATAATTTTTGTCTAATTTGGCAAATCAAAAAATATGCAAATATCATTTTATAAATCACTGGTTTCGCTAGCTTTAAGACCAAGGATAACCGCATTTTGATAAGATATCTGGAAATAGTCTTGCATCTGTTTTTCTCGCAAAACAGGGAGAATTTGTGAATTATGTGTGTGCCGAGCAGATGTGTCGATTTCGATTCCTTTGCCATAAGTTCTTCCGAATCCGAATCCATCTTCAAAAAAAAAACAAACATAATGGCTGTAAGGCGTTGGCGTTTTGTTTCGGCATTTAAGTCTTGATTCTGTAGAGAAGCGACCGGTTTTACTCAGTAGTGGCAGCGACTAAGTAAAAAAATATGACTTATCCACTGAGTGTGTGTGCCTGACGTCGCGAGCTTGAAAGATCTATGCAGATCTTAACTTTTATATATTAGGGGGCGCGCTTCGGATGCTTTAGTATAGCTCCGTAACTTCAGCGCGCATCAACATGGCCTCTGCGAAATTGGTAAGCATTTGCTCGGGGCGGAACCCCATCAGAATCGCCATCCGGAACCCTCGACCGAGACCTACGACTTCATAATAACCAATGGGGCGGCAATTACAATTACATTGGCATGTGAAGTGTGTGAATAATCCAAATAGAGGCTATCAATGCTCTCAAGATATTGATATTGATATTGATGCAGCTGTGCTAATAGCCCGGGCTGCTGGAAATGTTTCTTAATTGTCACGAAGCGGTTTTATTTCGCCAGTAAATTGCAAATTATAAATTTGTGGCTTTTTTATTAGAAACATATTTCTAGCTAAAGAAAGAAAGGTTATCTAATGTCTAATGTCCAAAGGTGGCTAGAACCAGTCTCAAAATTGGTGTTATTGACAAAGAAATTATTAAGAAATTTTATTTAATAATCGTGCCACAAAAAAAAACTAAGAAATACATAAAATTAGCATTTTCTTCAATCTATTAGTAAACCGAAAAAATAAGAAAATAATAGAATTAATAAGCATCAGTTAAAAATACCTTAAATCAGTAAATTCTAATTATATAATTGATAGTAGTGTGTTAATTAAAAACCAATAAAAAATGGAAAAAATGGAACGCGTACCAACGTTTGGTTTTATTTTTGTGAAAACCATATCGCTTATAATGATAACGGTCGCTGGTAATAATTAATATAACGTGTAACCATATTATTATAATGTTTAATTAATTACAATTTATTCTTTCTTCCCTATAGCTTCTTTTCACTGCCCTTGTGGCCATCATGGCCGCCAACTGCTCGGCGGGCCTCCTGGACGCCCTCGTTCCCAGAGCAATCACTGAATTTTACAGCAGTGCCTCTTCCAAGGAGGGATACCGTTTTAAGTAAGTAATTATAAGTTTCATCACGGATTACAGATCTCTAATCCCAAAAAACCTATTCAAATTGCAGCGTTAACGAGCCCAATGGCAGCAGTCGGGAGGAAGTCGGTATGATCTTGAACCCCGGAACCGATAAGGAAGAACTGGTGGTGATGGGTGCCTACACCGTTTACGATGAGAAGACTGATACCGAAACTACCACGATGTATACCGCCGATAAGGATGGTTACAAGGCTCGTTACCAAACCAAGAACCGCAAACTCAGCCCTGGAGCCCTGAAGTCCGCTGCTGGTTAAACCTTTATTAGATTAGATGTGTAAAGAAAAAAAGATTTAAAAAAATATAATTTTTCTACTGCTGAAAACTGGTTGGTTTATTTGAGCATCTCTTGAGAATTTCCACTTGCCTTCTGGCCAAGATCAAGTTTACTTGTTTCAATATCATTCGGATTGGACCGCACTCTGGATAGACGAGTTTTCTGTTGCGTAATAGCTTTGACCTTTAAAAAGTCTTTACGCCCGACAAATTAGCGCATTCTATTCTATAGTAATGATGGTCTCGACACCCGAAACACGTTTTTTTTGATAATCTTGGAGGCATTGACAAATACATTTGGTTGGTTTTTCGCCAAGCTTCAATACATATCTTTTTTCATAAAAAAGACAAGTCAGGTGAGATTCACAACTTAATAAGCGCCTACAGCTCAAAATTATAGACGAATTTGACAGGCTAAATTCGTAGCATAGGTATAATTAAATTCTAATTTTTGGTGAATCCAGATAACAACAATGAAGAACCAAAAATTAGACTGGTTCCTGGAAGCATTTAGACCATAAAAACTTGTTTCTATCGATGATAAATGGTCATTTGAGGTCCGAGGTAATATTTATGTATTTTTCGGGGGTTTTTTGTAAGCCTACATAGAAAACCTTGTCCCATTGTATGACGTATTTGGCTTATTTTGCGGCTACATCAATCACAGAAACAAGTTTGCCCAAAAATGTAGGTGGGAAGTTACTCAGTACATCTTCATGATTATTATTAATTAACCAATTGTATATTACTCGGATATTCCAAAAAATAAGAGATAATAATTCACATAATAAAACGAAGGCCGTTTACCGTTTTTCACAGAAGTCGTTGGGCAATCGGATTTATAACTTTAGGAAGCTTTTTAAATTACTTAATAATTATAATTAATTAATCATTTGTTTAGTGCGGTGCACGAGTATAAAAAGATGATTTAAGTAGTAATAAATGAAGGTATTTTTTTACTACATTTAATAGTCTATTTTTGTTACTTTACACCTGGATTTTGGTATAATTCACTGATTAATTAATCATAAAGTGATTACCCTTAGGAAATATTTGTAAAAGAATAACAAGAAATATTTATGTTCCAAAATTAATGGTGATACTTAATTTGTAACTTAACTTAACTTAACTTTAAAACTTGTTCAAACCACTTGCTAATTATTGTTAATTAATCAAGCTTTAACCACTTTGATAACGCTTATGTTTACAAAAAGCTATTATTCATGTAATGATATGTTGGATTTTATGCATTTCCTACGGTATTCGTTGTTGACCAATACAAAGATATAGATAGACCTTAGAAATAAGATTTTAAAAGATGAATAAAATGGAATTTATTTTTAATAATAATTACGTTGAAGCTAAAGAAAACTGGTTAAAATTACGTTGGAAATAATATTTATAATAATTATAAATGGATAAATAATGATCATCAATTGATTACAATATCATAATATTATTGTTTAAAAGAGTCCGTTAAAATATTTCTTACAAAATCGTCGGCATATCAAGCAGCTTTGGTATTTATTTAAGAGAGCTTTAAGAAATTGAAACTGAAACCATGATTAAAACTTTTAACATAGTATCTTTCAGTTACCAATGTTTTTTGTCCCAAAAAGCTATGAAAAGTTATCAGAAAAAGTCGGACTTGACTTGGCGGCGTTTTAATCGAGCAAAAGCTTTTCTTTGTTTACGGAAAAGCGGTTTTTTGTGTTGGCGCGCTTTTCCGATATATGCCTGTTGCCTGTGAAATCGCCAACTGAGGCAAAGTAAGCCCAGGTAACCCAGGTAACTGACCAGGCATAAAGCGGCCCAAACAGAGAGCGGGTTAGAACAATGTCACCCATCCGCACCACCATGTAGCTATAGGCTTTAGCCCCCGAGAATGTTTGGATTACAATGGAGCGTTTAGTTCCCGGTTAACGTTCGACGGTGCCGAATCGGCTTTTCATCACTATATAGTATAGAATATAGTTGAATATTTCCCAAGCCTAAGTTCGTGGTAAAAGGGAAATGAGGTACGAAGTGAAAATACCCGAAAGTGTCACCCAAAACGCTCATAAATAATCCAGTGAAAATGAAAGCAAATCATACGATTCTGCTTGTATATTTATTTTTGGTAATCCAACAAAGTTGCAAAGCTACGCAAAAGTCGCAGCTCGGCCAGTCGCTTATACAATTAAGTCACGGTAAGTTGAGCATCCAGCGAGTGAAATTTATTTGTTCTATATTATCTAGAGGTTCTAGGGTCCCCCCAGTACTCAAACACTCATTTTTACGGTGCAAGTATTTTGACCTTTAACGCTTTACGCATTTCTGGCTGAAAGCATTACCAAAAAACAAAAAACATCAAAAATTCATCACTGACCGTAGCAAAAATTTGGGACAATCAATAAGAGTTAATTGCAAAAAAAAGAAAAAACCGAAAGGTAAAATGAGGACTGACCCAGGTAATTCGACCTGCCAAATCAAGGCAGGTGTATAGTTAATTGCAGCGGCCAACACGCAAGCAAATTGTCAAGTTCCTGTCTTTGGCTTTTCGGTAACGAAAGTGCTAATCGATAAGGTTATGCTATTGTTGTCTATAAGGAGGTGGGGCATTAACCACCTTCGATGCATTTGGAATAACCCACTATGAGCATAATTGCTGCGGTTCAACTGCATTCATTGTAGGAAATATGTTGCCATTAGCGCAATTGATCAAACAAACTCGAAAACCTGTAACCAAAATAAAGGGTAAAAATATCAAAGACCGATAAAGTAAATAACAATTGATAAATGATTGAGACAGGATGATTCAGCAACTTTGAATAGGTATTATGTATATTAAAAATACCTATAAAATTAAACAAATATAAATTAAAACCTTTATTTAGAGTAATATTTATTTTCGTTAAAAAAAAAACATTGTTTACTTTCTATGGAAACGGGGTGAAAGTTCAAGAAACTGCTCAAGTTACAAAAATAAAACCATGACATTTCCAGACAACTCCGATGATGACTATCCCGAAGTTAAGGACGAAATACATTTGGAAGACTTTTTTTGGACTGGTTCGGGCGATGGGCCACCGGATTTCCTGAAGAAGGTTCATACGGGCATTACCAAGGGCAAGGAGACGGTTTTCAAGACCGAAACAGTGGTGGCCACTATCTATGTGGATGGAAATAATGTAAGTTAAAGTCAAGGGTTTAACCTGAAAGATGTGTTCTTAGATCTAACGATTGGATTATAGGAAATTGACATACCCATCTGTCTGGACTGTAAACCGGATGATGGAGGCGGCACTTGGGATATGGGTGGTCCAGGAATGCCACCTCTTAATTATTCCGCCACGGATCGAAGATATTGGCTGCTGACGGTCATGTCGGGTTTCTATACTGCCAAGGATAATCCCACTTTGGAGGAAAAGCTGGCACGTCTATATCGTTTGGCTTTTACAAGGTAAAAAGAAATCATAAAATTGGGTAACTTTTTGCTAAGTTTCTTTTAATGTTTAGAAAAATCTAAAATAATTTTTTAACTACTTTTCTGAATATATTATAAATTTAACCATCAGACAGCAAACCCGTCATCTGGGCATAAATGGAGCACAGCAAATCGAAGGGGTAAACCTACCGACGCCACCTCGAGAGCGACGAAAATCTTTAGCCCCACCGAGGAGACCCGAAACCACGACGGGATCACCGGAAGATGATGTGGAAATACTGGACATGCAGGAGGATGAGGAGCACTATATCAAGAATGTGAGAAGACTGGGCGAAGACACCGAATGGGCGAGTAACTCGGAGGAGGAGGAGCAAGAGCAGCCGGAGGAGCAACTTCCGATGGGGGTCACAACCTCGACGAGCACAGAATCGATAGATTACGGGGCATACGTTACTCTGATCCCCTGGGAGCTCATACAGCAGAATGGAAAATCGGAAAAGTTGCGGGAAATGCACGAAACCTTGTTGACTAAGCAACCGCCGGTGCAGCAACAACAGCAACAGGGGATGGGAATGGAACCACCCCGATCACAACCCCAAACACAGACCCAAACCCAACCACTCTATAGGGACGAGCACGTCAGAGTTGTCATACACAACCTAACGCAAATTAGCGAGGCGGATGTGCAAAAGTGGAGCACCAACACCAATGGGTTCGGTACCATCGAGGAGCACAACTACGTCAACCTCAAATTGTAAGTGCCTTCTGCCCTGCCGAACTTGTTATTATATTAGCAGTTTGATTAACCCATAAAGTGCACTCGCGAAAAATATCAATATCAAGATGGGGATAAGGGAAATGGATATGCACTGGTGGAATAGTAATTTAAAATGTCTGATATGCTCCATTATAAAATTTATTTAAAAAGTTATTTTATACTACAAAAAAACATAACTAAATTCAGTTTTTGCCATTTATCCTTAATCTCATATTGTTGGTGACTTTTTTGACTTAAGTTCAGCTCTTAGTTTCTAGAGCTCTTATGTTATGCCAGCATAAAGCTTTAATCGTAAGTTAGCTTTAAAAAAATAAATTTTTTTGAATTAAAAGAGGACTATATAAATAATCTGAGAGTAGGTATAAATTAAAAAATTATTTTACGACATACCTTTACTTAGTTTTTTTTGTTTTGATACTTAATTAAATTTTCTTGTTTTAATTGTTTGACATATTCTTTAGCAGCAACGATCGTCCCATAGCCAATCAAACCGAGCTGATTTACACAGTTTTGGTGAATGGACGACCCATTTTGGCCACCACAGCGGCCAAGGATATGGAACTGGTGAGCGAATCCGAGGCAGTCAAGACCTTTGGACAGGCTGTCTATATGAAATCCGAACGTGAGTTTAATAAACTGTCTCACAAGCCGATTTACCTACTACACTTATTTATTTAGCCTATATAAGGGAGCCGACGGCCACTGCTTTAGCTCCGGTTCCTCGAAGTGGACAGGCTGGGTTCTTCAACTCGGTGAAAAACAACGTGGCTTTGGTGGTAATCAGTTCCCTGGCCATCCTGCTGCTGATGTTGCTCCTGGTGGCTGTTCTACTTTTGGGACGAACACGTTCCCGACAAAGAGAACTTAGTGCGGTCAACAGGTGAGTTGAGGATTTTCTATAATTAAAGGAGAGTTTTCCCTAATTTTTGGGTATCCATTGCAGAAACTCCTCCCGCAACGAATTGCTCTCCGAGGGTCAATCCATTCGTCCGACGACTAGTGAGAGGACCGAAGGAGAACCGAGTCCAGGACATTCCCATTCGAGGGTAGAGGGCGGTGTGCGGAACTTCTCTTATGAAAGAGAGCCCAGGATAAGTTTTCCAGCTCCGCCGCAGGAGAACCAATCCCGATCTCGTCGTGATTCCATCTCCTCGTCGACGGACAACACCTCCGATTCTTCGGTTTACTGTCCCATCAATCCACCGAGTGCCGATGTGCAGAGGATCCTAGATGACAAGGCGGCCCGTTTATTCGATGCTCATAAGAGGCGTCATCAATACGATAGAGCTGAGGGTCACGAGGAAACGGTCTACACATCGGTGGTATCCGAGAAAAAGGGCGATAAGATGAGGCATAAATCAAGGAGACGTTATCTGAACGAGAATCGTGTGGGTTCCTTGGAAACGAGTCCTGTTCAGGGCTCTCTGGCCGGCCACTCCTCCGCCGAGGATTCTCCGGAGGTTATGCGTCGTAGCTATGAGAATTTCCAGCGGAATGAGGCCTTCAATCCGCACAACAATTATCACCGCAACAAGTTGTTGACCCAAAAAACTGGAAGAGGCGTTTCCGCCGAGGCAATTAACAACGAGATGATACGGAATCTACAACCCTCTGATAAATCCGATACAGCCAGTGTGGGATCCTTCCTATCGATGGCTTCCGTTCGCGCCTTTCCCAAGAGTACTCACCCGGAACCCCTTAACCGAGTGCTAGATCCCGTCTTTGTCACCTACTATGATAATGTGAATGCAGTGGCGCCGCACAATTCGACGAGATCCCTGAGATCCCACAAATCTCAGGGCAGCAAGGACAACACCATTGCCACCATTGCCAGTTTTCCCAGTCCCAAGGCACCACCTTCATCGGTTAGGAATGTACGATCCGCCTCTCACAGCGATAATCCCGATCCAGGAGTTGTGGGTCCTGTCGTCTGGGAGCGGCACAAGAAGAAGCAGACGCAGGGTGAGCCGGGAGGAGAAACCCCAAAGAATACAAATAAAACTAACCATAAAAATAATAATAATAATAACGATGACGACGACGAGGACGATGACAATGGCGATGTACGATTTGGGGCCAAGTCGCGTTACTAAGGACAACCTGTAGTCGTTGATTTTGTTATTGTTATTGCTTGCACCACAAATCCTGACATCCTGATAGCCCCCCGATAACATCCCGATAACCAAAACGTAGCCAACTAACAACGTAGTTACACCCTCTCTGCAAACTGGTAAAGTTAGTCACCTTTTACCGTACTCAACTTCTCCAATCGATCTTCCCCAGAGGCCCTGAACTATGGTGATTACAATCCCAGTCCACTGCACAATCCGTCGGCAATACGCAATCACTACGAGGGGCTTTTGGAGGGAGCCCTGCAAATGTACTCCAGCCAGGATGATATACCCATGCCCTTGCCCACGCAGAATTTCACGAACAACAGGAGAGTTACGAAAAGAGAGCACAGGGGCTCGTCGGCGGGGTTGCCCAGGTGAGATTCTGAAATTATATGATTTAAGGGGGGTGATATGAAATGGTATTATCATTTAATATAATATGATGATGTGATAAGATGGTCTAATATAGTAACGTTATATATGGTATGATACGTTAAGATGATCTAAGATGATGCATAAAATATTATATCAATATATTATATCATCTTATAATGATCATTAACCCAAAAAAAATAGTCATGGAAAAGAAACTATTGTTACATGAATTCTACACTATTGGGTGTCAAATTTGCGTTAATAAGATGAGTATTAAATTAATACCTTCAAAAGTATTATATTAAAACTTTCGGTATAGAAATGAAACTACAAAATATTAGGTTTATAATATTTCTTATGAAATTAAAACTAGTGAGTATAGAATTTATATTATTTAATATTGAGTCAATACCACTTTTGCATACTACATCTAGTATATTTTTAATACAACGCTTAGAGAGTTAACACTTTCGATTTTTTTTGGGTGTTTGAAATAATAATATGATAGGATGATATGATATGTTATGATATGATAATTTGACTTGTTATTATAATCCTTTGATCTTCCAGCTTTCATCCTTCGGGAGGTTCCAACACTATAGCTGAACGTCCAGCCACAGCGCAGCCGGAGAAGACTTCGAAATCGGCGCATTCCACGCAACCACCGTCCCCAACTTATAGTGCCTGGGGAGGCGGGAGTATGTATAGCTCCCATTCCACCCTGAATCGACCGGTGAGCGCAGGTCCTATCCAAAGGACGGAGAACAGATTGGATGCATCTAATCCGGGAACCGGAACTGCGCCCCTTATCGAGGCCATACAATCCGAGCTGCGAAAGTTCAAGCAACAGCAGGAGTAGATTCCATATTTTAATGATCTTAACTTTGTCATGGCATATCTGTACCAACAAAATGTTTGCAATTCATTTAGAATAAACTTTTCTTAATACTCTAAAAGCGGAAGTATTTGAAAACTCTTAATGCAGGTTATTTAATCAATTTTATTATATTTACATACTTGAAATGGCAAGAACAACACACAAAGACATTAATTACAAGCTCTCACCAGCCCTTAATTCGTAATATATATTTGACCGAAAAACATATTTGCTTATATACCCGTTACAATATTCAATTAGAAGCGTTCTCTTTGATGTACAAAAAAGTGAGTGTACGACATTTAGAGTGTCAAAAAAGAGGAGCCTTTCATCATCAGTTCATTGGAGAAACAAGTGTGTGCGTTTAGTTGAGTTCCTTTTGTCCCTTGTTGGTGTCCTCGTAGGACTTGGCATCCACACTGCGTTTTCCCAGGCGGGGACCGAACCACAATCCGGAGGAGGCACTGGGTCCAGTGCGCTTGTCCAGCACCTGTTGCAGGGCCAACAGGTGGGCCCACTTCCTCAGCGGCATCTCGCCATCTCCGCGACCAACGCGTGGGAAGGCCACTAAGCCACTGGCCCTCTTCTGGAAATCGGCCTCTGAAACGGTGGCAATCGTAAATCCCCGATAGCGTTTGGGCCAATTAGTTATCTCCAGCCGCCAACGACTTACCATTATAATCCTCCTGGGAGGCATCAGCGTAAATGCCGTCGAGGACCGAAGCTTCTAATCCGTCGCGCAGACTGTTGGCCAGGCTGGGATCTCCTCGGCCGACGCGCGGAAAGGCATAGAGACCCATATTGGCACCTCGTCGGTTCTTGTCGTGGTCCATCTCTGAATGGAGTGTTTAGGGCTTGTAATTTATGGTCTTAACTCACCGTGGAATAGGCTATTTTCGTGCCCTAACTGCCAAAATAACTCAAGCGACTGGATAATGGATATAATCATGCAACTTGTATTACTTTAGGATACTTATTTAAGGTGAAACAAAGTTGTTTTTTAATTGTTTATTATAAACAAAAATCAGTTTAAAATTTCTTATTATATTCCCTATTTTGCTTTAGTTATTTTAGCAGCTAGATTTTATACACTTTATACTATTTAAGGTGTTTAATAAAAAAATCTTATAAGTACATTTTGAAAAAGAAATTTAAATTTCATGCTTAATTTCGATTAAAAAACCTTAGTAAAAGTAATTTCTTTGCCAGAACATTTAAAATATGCCTTTGAAAAGAGTGCTTCATTATTATTGAAAAACTTGTTACAAAAATTTAAAAAAATCTTAGGCGAAAGAATAAAAAGTAAAAAGAAAATGTTTTACTGTTTTACCTTTTTCTTTTAAAGGTGCTGTAAAATATTTTTTTAAAATGATTAGAAAGCTTTGTACAGTCTCACTTTTAAAATAAATTGCTTGGAAATCCTTTTGGCAAATCCAAAAATGTATGTAGTTCATTTGAGATTCCCGGAATAACCTTTTATATCTATATCCACACTCACCAGCTGCACTGAATTCTGCGATTAGGAAAATCACCAAGACTACGTTGACCAACATTGATTTCATGTTTGCAAAACTATCTTTTTAAAACGAAACACTAGGTGAGCCTAATATGTTTTTCGGTCTGATGTTGTCCTTAGAACGGTCACTTGATGTCTGATGCTGCTGGTCGAAGTTCCCGCTCTTTTATAGGCCAGGAAAAAGAAGAGGAGTTGAATAAATTGCCACCGGACCAACGGGGCGGCTGATGAATGTTGCTGGGATGCAAATCAGATGTTGCTAGCAACAGGTGGCTTAGTCCCTTGGCAACATGTATGGGTATAATAATATTTGAGAATCGTTTATTGTTCAGACAAAAGGATCTTAAGCTTATATAACTGCTAACCAAATGGGTGACACTGGATTTTAGTGATGCTCTATAGCCAGCCGGAGATCATGCGACCCGTGACCGTGGATTTGCCCCGTTCTCCGCCAGCGGCTGCACTACTTTGTCCCACTTTGATGGCCGGTTTCAGAGGAGCTACTCCAGCTGCTGGCTTCTTGTCCTTGTCATCGGTTGGTTTCTTGTCCTTGTCATCAGTTGGTTTCTTATCCTTGTCATCACCTGGCTTTTTGTCCTTGTCGTCACCTGGTTTCTTATCCTTATTGTCGGCAGGTTTCTTGTCTTTGTCATCGGCTGGCTTCTTGTCCTTAGCATCGCCTGGCTTCTTATCCTTATCATCGCCTGGCTTCTTGTCCTTGGCTTCCTCTCCTGACTTGGCGTCACCCGGCTTCTTGTCCTCTGGCTTGGAGGCTCCATTGGTGGCCTTGGTTACCTCGGGAGCTCCAGCTGCTCCAGATTTTAGCTTGGCATCCGGTTTGGCATCCGCCGGAGCCGCGGGAGCTGCACTCTTGGCTGCTCCATTTGTGGCTCCCGGCTTGCTGCTGGGATCTTGGCTCTTTGAGGACTCCTCCTTCTTGGCAGCCGCCTCGGGCTTTGCAGGTTCTCCGGACTTGGGAGCCGTTGGCTTGGTGTCTCCTGGTTTGGTTGGCGGTGCCGGAGCATCCTTCTTTTGCTGGTCAGCGGGTTTGGTTTGACCATTGGCACTAGCCGCTTGGGGCTTTGGAGCACCTGCTCCTGGAGTGGGTTTCTGATCACCGGGCTTGGGACCTCCTGGTGGCGGTTTGGAGTCCTTGGGAGGCTGCTGTTTATCCTTATCATCACCTGGCTTCTTAGCCTCTCCTCCTGGTTTCTTGTCATCGCCTGGCTTGCTGGCAGTGCTGGCTTTGCCATCGGGCTTCTTGTCTTTGTCCTGATCCCCGGATTTCTCATCCACATTCTTGACTGAAGCTCGCAGAGCAGCTGCAGCCATCATAGGGACTCCTCCGCCAGCTCCTGCGCCACTAGTTATGGATTTTTTGGACTGCAATGGTTTCAGATATTAGCTTATTCTAGGGGAGAAATATATATAATTACCCCAGAGGCATCCAGAGGCTTCTTTTCCCCTTCGCCATTCGCAGCACCATCCTCATCGGCTATGGAAACTTCGTCTGCAGCCATCTTCTTTCGCATGAACTTCACATAGGCCACTCTCGTTGCCCGAGTCACATCACCCAAATTGGGATTGAATTCTGGAAGAGATTAGGAGTGGTTCATATATCAAAAAAAAAATTAATTTTTATAATCTTACCTATCAACTGGTTCTGGTTCATCTGCAGACCCTCATTGGCCTGTTCGATGATCTTTCTCCTCAGACTTCGTTGGCTATGACGCTGCATGGAGGAGCGCTTTGAACCAATGGGATCGGAAGCAAAAGTATTCTTTCTCGCAATGGCATTCCAATCCTTGTCTCTATAAAATAGTAGAAATTTTTAATTCGATTTTTAAGGAGTCCTAAATTAAGACCTACCCCTTTTGGGTCTTCTTTCTGCCAATAACCTTAGCCAGCGATGAGAAGATATCTCTTCCGCTCTCACTTTCGCTCATTTCCTGCTTCAGATTCTCCACAAAACCAATTTGGAAGTCCTTGAGAATGCGACGTTCCATTACCTTACCCTTGGTGGTTCGGGCAACTCCTTAAAAAATTCATAATTAAAATAATAAAAACAATTTTAATATTTTATAAATAATTATAGGTATTTTTAAAAGCAATATTTAATTATTTCCCAATTTTAAGTTTTATCCTAATATGCTTACATATAAATTTGTTTAAAAATGTGTGCTATAGTAGGTTTAGCTTCATAGAAAAATGCATTTACGTTCATTCATATTAACCACAAAATTGGCATTTCTGATAGGGGTACGCTTCCCTTACCCTGCGACTTCTTTTCAATGTCGGGAACATCCCAGCTATTGTTCGTGAAAATCTCCAGTAGTTCGAAGCGCAGGGAGCTGATGTCCTGGCGCACCTCAATGATATCATCCTCGGTAATGCCGTAATCGTCCCGCCGCCTCTGCTCCGCCGTAATGTAGCGCCTGACCAGCAGCTTCATCACTTTGTCATGCAGGGTCTGTGCCCGCTCCATGGATTTTCTCTGGGAGTTGAAAAAAAGGAATATAAGTATTTAAGGGGGTAGATAGCAGAAGGACACGGAAAAGGATGTATTAGCCTTCACTTTGACGCACAGCCCGCTCTGCATGGGCTTGATTGAAAATGATTTGGCCAAAGATTTGTATTGATTGTACCGCCTCTCACTGGGAGGTGGTAAAACTTGGAAAAATATCTGTATCTATAAAATTTAAATTATATTTAAATGCAGATATTTCCATGTAACTTTCCAAGAATTCATAATTTATATTTTTATTTAAAAATGGAGATATTATAATTTAAGTCATAATGTTTGTATAAAAATTAAGATATTGTATTGTTTTCCAGCAGGAAATCACATTTCTCCTATTTTCTTTTTTTTTTGGAAAATTGTTTAAAAGATTTGACTTCCCAACCTAAGTTCAAATTAAATTTTTTAGAGTGTATCCTTACCATAAAGCTCTTGGTTCGTGAGGGTCGCTTTCGCCCCAGAGTCTTCCTCAACATCTTCATGTTGGGACAGAGGTTAAATGGCGGTGGAATGGTGCCGCCATCCTCGAAGTAGCTCATCCACAGCTGCGAACGGGCGAACTTCCACTCGGTATCGGCTCTCTCCGAGATGATTTGATACGAATTGGACATCATGGCAATAAGCATGTTGAGCAGCACAATGATATTGATAACCGAATAGGAACCGAACATCAGGAGGGCCCAGAAACGGGTGAAGCTCTTGATTCCCGCCAAATCGAATGAGACCAGGTCCACAAGGCCAAATGAGGCCCAAAAAAGGGATTGTGATGTTTCAAATAAGCTAAGAAATAGATGAAGAAATTTAAGTAAAACAGTTAAAATATTGTAAATACATCCTACTTTGAAAATCTTCGCCAGATGGTACAGGCCTTTTCCTGGTCATCAAAATCCGCCACATCGGGATGCAAATGATAGCACTTGTTCTTCTCCAGTTCAGCGTAGTACCAAAGCAATTGATTGAGACCACAGCCAAAGGCAAACAGAACCAGTGTGTAGATAAAGAAGAACTTTATAATATCGATTATCATGCGACCCAGTGAAACTTGCAAGGGACCCAAATGCGGATTAATGGAAAATATGTGGACCAGTTTAAGATATGAAAAGACCATTCCTGCAGCAAAGGCGCCCTCCGATAAGAGCATGGGATCAAAGGGATGCCAGTGCTCGCGGGGGAAGTACGGATCTATTCCTCGGAACCAGAGATCTCGCTAAAAAGCAATACACATAAATATGTTATTTTTACAAATATATACTACAAACTCACATGAACTATAACCCAAGCGGTGGCTCTACAAAGAATCCACGTCACATAGAACATATTCGATATGTAGTCCACTATGTTCCACAGATCCATGATGTACTCAAACAGTCCATCCGAATACAGTGATTTCAGTTCCTCGAATATCAAAGCCATTATGTAGGTGATGATGGCAAGTTCAATGGGACCTGGTAGAGAACCCCTTTCGTGTTTCCTCCAATCTTCCAGCATGGTCAACATCCAGGGAAAGGCGAGCAGTTCAAAGGTGATTTGCACCACCCTCAAAGAGGCGGCACCCAAAAGCACTGCGAAGGGGGTTATTTATTTAGATAGGGAATTAAAACCCCCACCATTATACCCACTTAAAAAGAACATGTAGGAGCAGGAGTGCGTGATGAACTTGACAAAGGGCTTGCGCATGAACTTGGCCCCCTCGGAATCCGGGGCCAAAATGTACTTCAAACTGTAGATGGGAAAACTGCAGCCGAGCTTCATCACATCCATCAGCTGCTGGGAGGCCTGCTTGCGACGAAATCCGGGCAGACCATCGTACCAAATGGCGGCCAACAACTGTTGGACATTCGGATGTGCCACAAACTAACAAGGGGAATTTAATAATATTTAATTAAGTTGAAATACTATTTTAAAAGAAATTATAGGAATTTAAGGAAGTAGAGTTAAAGGTTAAAAAAATATAATTTAAATCCAAACTATAGAAAATCATAGGAATATAATAATTACGAGTAGAGTTATAGGTTAAAACCAAAACTAAAATTTAAATCCAAATTATAGGAATGTAATAAGTAGACATCGGATTTTAGGTGAAATCTTTTTTTTAAATATTTCAAAGCCACATTTAAAAATTTTTTTTACAAAAACCTCAATTAATTTTTGCCTAAATCTAATTATAATTTAATAAATAAAATTTGTAACCAATCAAATGTGGCTTTAAATCATATTTAAAAAAAACGATTTCACCTAAAACCCGATGTCTAGTAATAAGTACAAGTAGAGTTATAGGTTAAAAAAAAAAACTAAAATCTAAATCCAAATTATAATTTAATTAAAATATTATTACAAAGAAATATCTGCCTCTAAAAAGCCCAATTTATTTAAAGAAAATATTTATTATTATAGTGAGGAGACAGACCAAAACCCACCGTCTTTTGCTTATATCGAATGGCTAGCTTCAATCGCTCCAAAGTCTGTCGCTGGCCAAGACACCAGATGTCGTGGGACGGCTCGTGGTTGAAGTTGAGCATCACCTCGAGCTCCATGGATGTGCGTGCGTGGTCCAGGAGCGAGGTGCCGAAGTCCTGCACCATCTGACGCATCTCCTGTTGGGCAAACACAAACAAAGGCATTCGCACTGCACCGCTTACATTGAACAATATAGTGCAATTCTACTAATGGCGTACCGTGTATTCGGCACGAAACTCCGATTCCATCGCCTGCAGGCGCTTGAGTTCCCAGGACAATTGGAAGGCGGTCAGTACAGGGTCTCGGGAGCTAAGTGCTATCAGCGAACTGGCCGAGAGAGCCCTGTACGCGTTGATCCTCGACTGCGAGTGGCGCAGGGAGTCCGTCGTCTGGGAGGTCACACACTCATCGCAGCCACACCTGCGGAAAGGCAGGGATAAAATCCAAAACTACATTATTATGAAGATTAAAAATTGCAGTTGATTTGCAAAGGATATTACACTAACATCGAATTATTAAAAATTATTCTTTGAAATAGACTTTAAAAGTACCCGATAAACGTTTTGCAGGACTCGCTGGAGGCGTTTTTCTAATGAATGTTTTAAAGGACCTTCGAAACATTTTTTAAAGATTTTTTTTTTAATAAATAAAAGGATATTATAAGAACATAACAGTTGGATGTTTTATATTCATGGACAGACATTTACACTAAAAATGTTTTCAAGACACGCTTTTTAAATAAATATCTGAAGGGACATTCTTTTACAGTGCAAAATAATTTAGAGACAGACATTTTGTTGTTATTTTTATATATTTTAATATAAGTGTTTAAAAAGGACACTCTATTTTTTTAAAAAATTCCACACACAAAGGACTTTTTCTTGTTAAAAATCGGGAAAATATATATTTTTAGAACAAAACCCCAATGGAAATTAAGAAATTGTTTCAAAAAAGGACACCCAAGCTTTTGTCCCATAATAATAATATTAATTTAGAAAACAATTGGAAAACTTTTAGAAGAACTATTTCTAAAGAGTGGCGAAAGTTCAAGGACCCCAGTGCATCCTCACACCCTGTATGAATCGTTCACCCTAATTTCCCCGCAATTAGTTAAAATTAGAAGAACCCAGCGAGCTGCTACATGAGTGAGATGCAAGTTGGGCAAACAATGGAACGTGCCTCCCGAAGGACGAGGAAGCTCATCACCCAGAACATCGCTAAATAGGACATCACCATCACTCACTTGACGTCGTGCGGCATGGGCAGCGTGGCCCCGCGATCCAGGAGGATTTTGAGTATCTCGTAGTTATTGCGATGGGCGGCCAGGATGAGGGGCGTGATGTCCACGGTGAAGGTGGACTTGGAGCGGTCCACCGCCTCCCAGCTCTGCCAAGGGATCAAAAAGTGAGTCCGCTAACCAAGCGAAGGATCGAAATAACCTACATAGGGCTGGCCCTCCTTGTGGTTCGTCTCCTCCCACTGCAGCAGCTCCTCCACGGCCTCCACATACTCCTCCGAGATCGCATGGAGCAGGGCGTCGCCCACCTCGATGTTGTTCTCCAGCAGGATGACCATCAGATCGAAGTTCTCATTCTCGATGGCCGAAATTAGGGCCGAGCGATTCATGGGATCCGTGCAGTTGATGTTGAACTTGTCCGTGCCCAAATATTCCTCGAGGATCCTTTGGGGATAGGGAGGATCCTTTATTACTCAACATCCCAAGAAACCAGGTAAAACCCTCACTTTTTCACACCCGGCAGATCACCACGCTCGCAGGATAATATGAAATTCTTCTCCACATCACTGAGTATGTACTCCTCGGCCATCATCAGATCGTAATCCAGCCGAGAGCCCAATGCCTTTTCGGCATCGGATTCGCTGGTGCTACCCATTTCTCTGCCGATTTCCTAAGGTCTATGCGTAGTCAGAATCGGAATCTCACTCGGTCACTTCACATTTCACACGTATGCTTCAAATATATGGGCCTATATCCCTGCTCCTTCGAGGAGGCCCTACATTTAATCCTTTCGCGCACTGTATCCTTTTTAGTGTTCCATCGTGACGATGTTTAGTCTCCAATTAGCCGCGTTGCACTGCTGGGAAATGGCAGCCACTAGTCGCTATATTCCACTAATTACATTAGTGCCTAAACTCGGCTAAAACTCGGTCAATGTGTTTGCGGGCGAATGAAAAAAGACGCAAGTCAATGGGCCCATTTGACCACCATTTGGTAGTTGTGTGGCTGCATTCGGGAGGCAGCAACCGATTTTAGCGATTTCCCCGATTTTACCATAGGAATTTCGTAGCTGCAGGGCACGTGATGTGGGAACAGTGCAATATTTTCGATTTTCGAAGCCCTAGAAAAAAGAGCAAACCACTTTGATGCCTGAAAATCCATAGTCTGCAATGGGTTTCTAAGAAAAGTGTGAAATGTTATTATTGTGAAAGCATATTCTGAGTGTTTGGATATAAATAGAATAACGATTTTTGGGTTTTTATGGTGCTTTGCAATTCATATGCAACAGAAATTACTAGGGTTGTTGAACCAATTAGTGTCTAAAAAAAAATGCATCAATATATTTAGAAGCCCGAAGTCCCTTAGATTAATTTTAAAAGAAGCGAAAAATTACTTTTTTGCATCTCCTTTATTTTTGGTTTTATATTGCAAATTGATTTTTAAAACATCTACTTAAAGATATTAAAAATTTACTTAAAATGCAATATTTTTCAGATGGTGACAGAAAGTATTCAGTTCAAAGATGCTTCAGAAATAAAATAAGAATTCTTAGTTATAATCCCAATATCCCTTATCCCCAAATTCATTTGCCACTCAAAAGCTATTTAAAATCAGGCGGTTTGGCGTCAACAGTTCGTAAAACTATAAAAAGGCAAGCTTTTAAGCTCTTTGAGCCAACAGAACAACCCACAAAACACACCACACTGGTTCTTTACAGTCGGATTTTACAGAAATGCAATGGTTTTAAGTCACTTTTTTGCCACTGGGTCAGTGATTCCGACTTTGAGATTGATTAATATTGATTAATCCGAGCGCGGAGAGGGACAGCTGGGAACTCAATTGAGAAATCCCAACTCGTCCTTGGCAGCTGAACATCTTGAACCTTGAATGTTGAATGCTGAAGGCTTTTTGTATGTCAATGCACTTGGAATTAAAAGCCCAAAGGAGCAAGCCCTCTTCCAAGGAGCGCCCTTTGAGATGGATGTGTGTTCGAAAGGTGGAAAAAGGGGTTCAATGGGGCTCCGGGCGGAATGGAAGTGGGAATGGGAATCATCATCAGCGTACGTGTTCAAGTTGTACGGGGTTTTTCAGCGGGGCCAATGCACTCTGCTCACATTTCTCAAAGGGAAGGCAACGGGGTTCCAAGGAATTTCGAAATTAAAGCCACAACTGCGGAGGGAAACTCATTAAGTGCAAATTAATTAGTGGGCATAACTGAAGGTACGTGAGATGCCGTTCTATAATAATATCCAGTTATAAATTACTTTTTGATAACAGAATAAAAAATCTTATAAAGAATACAACCACAAATTTAATAGAAAAATAGGATTACCCACACTGATATTTTTTATGGGATTTATATATTTATTATAAAGACAGCGATTTATTTATAAACAAAGTACAAACGCGAATTCTTCAGAAAAATGGGATACAATTTTCAAAAGCACTTATCATGATTTCTCTCAGTACAAAATGCTGCACTCAATGATACATTGGCCTCCAACAGAACTCCTGCCTTATTTAGCTTCTCAAGAGCCCTCGTGAGTTATGTGCACAATTTTCTCTGCGGCACGAGAAAAAAGGGAAAGAGCTCATTTCCCTCGAAAGGTTGCACTTTCACTGCCTCCACAACGGAAACGTCAAGATTGTGGGCAAAAATCTATATATTATAGGAATCTACATGAATCTACATATAATAAAATTCAAAGCTAATCTTAACCGCAATCAGAAAGATAATTCAAAATCATAAAAACCAAGACATTCAATACTGATTTTCTTTATGGTATCAGATAAGATAGCAGGTGGAGTAAATTAAATGTACTCACTTTAGATAATGATTTTATGAATTAAAACAAAATTTATTATATTGTCAGCTGAGTTGCCGAATCACTGAAGAATCTGATTAGTCGAAGCTCAGACATTTGTTGCTTATTTTTGTTTACCTTTAAGTATTTAGCACTTGCAAATTTACAGCCCTTGAATGAGATAAGACCAGTGCTTCTTTTGTATAAAAAGGCTGTAGATTCTAGGATTCCTCATCATTCAATCGCCTTGATCGAAATGAAACTGTTCGTATTCCTGGCCTTGGCCGTGGCCGCAGCTTCGGCTGTTCCGGCTCCCGCCCAGAAGCTCTCCCCAGTGCCCATGAAGGACATCCAGGGTCGCATCACCAACGGCTACCCGGCCTACGAGGGCAAGGTGCCCTATATTGTGGGACTCCTCTTCAGCGGCAACGGCAACTGGTGGTGCGGTGGCTCCATCATCGGCAACACCTGGGTCCTGACCGCCGCCCACTGCACCAACGGTGCCAGCGGAGTGACCATCAACTACGGAGCCAGCATCCGCACCCAGCCGCAGTACACCCACTGGGTGGGCAGTGGCGACATCGTTCAGCACCATCACTACAACAGCGGCAACCTGCACAACGACATTTCTTTGATCCGCACTCCCCACGTGGACTTCTGGAGCCTGGTCAACAAGGTGGAGCTGCCTAGCTTCAACGATCGCTACCAGGACTACGCTGGATGGTGGGCCCTCGCCTCCGGATGGGGCGGCACCTACGATGGCAGTCCCCTGCCCGATTGGCTCCAGGCCGTTGATGTCCAGATCCTGTCTCACAGCGACTGCAGCCGCACCTGGTCCCTCCACGACAACATGATCTGCATCAACACCGATGGCGGCAAGTCGACCTGCGGCGGCGACTCCGGCGGTCCCCTGGTCACACACGACGGCAACAAACTGGTCGGAGTTACCTCCTTCGGCTCCTCCGCTGGCTGCCAGTCCGGACACCCCGCCGTCTTCAGCCGCGTCACCGGATACCTTGAATGGATCCGCGACAACACCGGCATCTCCTACTAAGCAGCTGATGGCTCACCCATTTTCGGGGGGCTCTTTAATAAATGATAAAGCATATAAAGCAATGGGTGTTTTCTATTCAATCTATAGGGATATGGTGATAGCAATCCATTGGCAATTAAGCTACGAGCAGGGTTTGGAAAATAACACACACTGTAAAAAAATTGTGTTATTATCATGTTAATTGTCAAAGTGTTGAGTTCAAAAAAAGTTATTGACTTGTGTGTAAAAAATTGTATCCTACATATGTTAGAAACATAAATAACACACACATGTCATTTGTGTTATTTACACGACGAGTTTTTTACACAGCGTGTTTTTAACACAATGAGTTTTTATTGTTTTAATTGTATGTTGATAACGCATAGTTATAACAAAGTTACAAAGCAATGAGGTCTCCAGCCTTTCTATTCAAAAGAGGCTCTGTTCTTATCTCATTCAAGTTTGTAAAACTCGAGGCCTGTAAATTTTAACTCAGTTATCATCGTGTCCAGTCTCTCCTGCTGATAAGTTGGCCGCAAGTGCCTCCTTTGCTAAAATTATGGCCCATATTTAAAGTGGAATGACGTGTGCCTAATTTGCAACCTGTTTTATAGGCTGTCAATAACATTTTTGTAGAAGATATTACTGTTCAGATATTATTATCAGAATACAAGATTAACTACCAGATGCCTATTTCTACTGGAAATAAAAAAAAGGAAATTAAGAAACATTTAAAAATTCCCTTTTGTTAAAAGACAACAAATAACATAAACTTCTTCTGGTTTTTCATTGCATTTGTATTAAGTTGATACAAGTCTCTTGAAATTAAATTTATTAAAAACAAACCAAGTTATTGATAGAAGAGAAAATTGTAATTTTAATAGTAAATGCCGGTCTCCTCCTTGATCCATTCCAGGTACTTGGTGACCCTAGTGAAGCCAGCCGGACCACCAACCTGGCAGCCGTAATCGGAGACAAACGAGGTGATTCCAATGAGCTTGTCACCTTCCTTGGTGACCAGAGGACCACCGGAGTCACCCTGGCAGGTGGCCTTTCCGTCTGGAGTTTCCACACAGATGGTGTTCTCGGAGGCGGTTTCGGTTCCATAGTAGGCCTGGCACTCCGACACAGAGATCACCTTCAGGTCCACAACTCGCAGATCCTCCACCACATTGCTGCCATCGTAAATGGCTCCCCATCCGGAGGCCTGAACCCAGCTGTTCTCATAGGAATTATAGCGATCATCCAAACTGGGCAGCTCGATCTTGTTGACCAGACTGTAGAAATCCACATGGGGAGTTCTGATCAAAGCCAAATCGTGATCAAGTCCCACGTAATGGGGATACCTGATGAAGTTATCCTTGCTGACGGTGTGACGGAAGGCAGGTTCGTTGTAGTTAATGGCACCGTAGTACAGGGAAGCTTCATCGGCACTGAAGAGATATAAAATATATTAATGGGATGTTTGAAATACCATTTTTAGGACTTACCCAGCGGTACAATGGGCGGCAGTCAGAACCCAAGTGTTGCCAATAATGGATCCTCCACACCACCACCAGTTTCCATTGCTATTCAGGCTGATTCCCACGATATAGGGCACCTGACCCTCGGTCGCCTGATTTCCATTGGTGATCCTACCCTCGATGCTCCTTCCATCCTTGATCTCCAGATCCCGCGGATGGACAACCGAGTGGGGCAAAGTTAGGGCGCTACAGACCCCGAGGAAAACAGCGAGCGACAAGAGCGTAAGACCCCTCATTTTTGAAGACTAAACCGCTTCGATGGTGGTCCGAACATTATATAGCCTAGCCGAAATCTTATCGCGCATGTGCCGCTACCTTAGTGAATTTTATCAATGAAAAGGTTTAATTTATATTAGCACATACTTTAGCTGGAGTGTTTGACAAGAGTATTAGCTTGGGGAAAATAATTGAATAGGTACTTGTTTCAATTCCAGATTAATAACAATATTATAAAATATTAAAAACAATATAAATGATTTTTTGATTTCATAATGCAATTTTATTCAATGACAAATGCTTTTTTAGACATCAATTAATAGTAAATGCCAGTCTCCTCCTTGATCCATTCAAGGTAATTGGTCACTCGAGTGAAACCAGCGGGAGCTCCGGATTGGCAGCCATAAATGGAACCGAATGAAGTAACTCCTATTAATTTGTCACCTTCCTTGGTGACCAGCGGACCACCGGAATCACCCTGGCAGGTGGACTTTCCATCGGGAGTATCCACGCAGATTACATTATCGGTGGCTGTGTAAGTTCCATAGTATGCCTGGCATTCCGAAACGGAGATTACCCTGACATCCACCACTCGCAGGTCCTCCACCACATTGCTGCCATCGTAAATGGCTCCCCATCCGGCGGCCTGAGCCCAGTTGTTTTCGAAGGAACTATAGCGATCATCCAGACTTGGCAGCTCGATCTTGTTGACCAGACTGTTGAAATCCACATGGGGTGTTCTGATCAAAGCCAAATCGTGATCGTTTCCAACATAGTGGGGATATCTGATGAAGTTGTCACTACTAACTGTGTGCCGGAAGGCGGGTTCATTGTAGTTGATGGCACCATAGTACAGTGAAGCTTCATCGGCACTGAGGAGATATAAAATATATTAATGGGATGTTAGATAAATCATTTTTAAACCTACCCAGCGGTACAGTGGGCGGCAGTGAGAACCCAAGTGTTTCCGATTATGGATCCACCGCACCACCACCAATTTCCATTGCTATTCAGGCTGACTCCCACGATATAGGGAACCTGACCCTCAGTCGCCTCATTGCCATTCGTAATCCTGCCCTCGATGCTGTGATGTGCGACCTTTAGATCCCGTGGGTGGACAATCGAGTGGGGTACAGTGAAGCCACTGCAGAGCCCAAAAAGGGCTGCCAGCAAGAGTACGAATGCCTTCATTTTGGTACACTGAAAAACCTCCATTGGTGGTCACAGTTTTATATAGCCCTAATGATATCATTATCAATGCAAATATAAACTGCTAAATCTAATCAAGCTTGTATGGTGTCACTAAATCATTTTAATTTATAGGTAATACTAAGTACCTTGACTGTGTGACTGATAGAATGAGTTCAGTACATTGGTAAAAATTATTCGTTAATGAAAAATACAAAAAAAATGCTTGATAAATATTTGTATTTTTATTTAATAGTTTCGACAGTAAAATGTGTCACAACAACCTAAATGAATTGAAAACTTCAAAGTTAAACCCTTAAACATAGAAAAATCCATCAAGGGTCATGTGATATCCTTGAAGTACAACAGGAAATAGGAAAACTGAAAAGCAAATACGATTATGGCAATAAAAAGGGAAGTCCAGTTTCGAAACTATGTGTACATATTCCGCAGCAGTTCCTCTTAAAGAGCGTCGATGTTGTGTGAAACCCAATATAGGTTCTTAGGAAAACCCGCAAACGGAGTGGGTGGACTAGTCCACTCATTAAGAATCTATTGGGAATGTTTACGTGCATTCCCCATTGCTCCCTAAATCGAAATGTGCAACATCTCGGGGCAGGAAACTCACCACACGGAACGGAGAGCTATTAAAAAGCGACCCCCAAACGAATGGTGAGTCAGTTCCCGACTTGTCGTCCAGGCATTCAGACCCCATTCGCAAGGATAACGCGCAAGGACCCCTACGAATATTACGAACAATTAATAATACAATTAAAAGTTTAGCGCGCGTTCATCTCATACACAAATATAACTCGATTCCTACAGGCAGTTCAAAGAACAAGTATTAAATTAAATTACTGCTGGTGTACAATATCCTGGAAGTACAAAAACAAAGGCGAATACGGGTACGGGGATACACGATATACCCTTTACAGCAAGTGAGTGACCGGACTCAAAGAAGTCCTTTAAAGGATTGTGTGTTGTTTGCCGTGCACGATGCCCATAACAACTGGGTTCGCGATTGCCGTTTAAGGTGGGGCGATTAAGTCACGCTCTTGCTATATCAACATCATCATGCGGAAAGTCCCTTCATTGGGAGTAATGACATCGTGACCAACACGGAACTATAAACTCAAGAAATTAAAACATAAAAATCGAATAATTATTAAACCCTAAATTATACGAGCAAGAGGTGTTATAATTAAATATCTTTTTATAAGGATAATAATTTTTAATGCGAAACTATAAATTTAAGAAAGAATAACAATTTAATAATTACTTATTCATGGGTTTAGGAGCAAGAGGTGTGGTAAAATCTTAATTAGATTAAGCTAAGTATTTATTACGAATCTATAACAGCTTTTTAATGCTGATTTTAGTAATTCCTCAATTAGATTTCTTGTTTCAACAGAATTTAAATATTGTTTCAATATTGACCTATAGCTATAAACTCATGTCAGCATTACTACATTTAGGCAAACCATTTCGAAAATGGAAATATTTCACTTTTAAATTAAAGCTTTAAAAATATAAAATTTAAGTTTAAATTTAATTCACATATTTAGTTTCTGATATTTGCTAAAAATATTTCAGTTGCTTTTTAGCTAGCACCAAAAGTACAATAGAGGAAAACAGAATGTTCCGCATCAGCACCAAAAGAGAAATTCGCCTGTCTCGAAGTGACTAGGTCGTCTATCCTAGATTATAATCCCCTAGAGAATCATCAGGATGCACCAGGTTCTGAGCTACGAGACGGCGGTGCGGGCCAACAGCTCTCGCGAATTCCGCGAATATGTCTCCAAGCGAACCTGTGCCTCCCTGGTCCTAACGATTGCCTTCTTCATGCTGATAACAGGTGAGTGAAGTGAATGCAGGAGGCACTCGGTTAAATCAAAGGACATTTCCTAACGAGTCACGCTTGTTTTGCAGGATACTTGCTGGGCAATTTTGTGGCCGAGCGCAAGTACCACATACGCCAGATGATGATGACAAAGGGCGTCGTTAAGGATGTAAATGGCGAAAGGAGCGTGAGCCTGAATAGCGCGGAATATGCCAGCCTGCAGGAGCTGCAGACATATCAGAAGGCCAAGGGACAGCTGCTGAAGTCCGCCCAGGAGCTCGATAAACTGCAGCAGCAGGAGGAGAGCGAACAATACCTGGCCACCTCGCTGAACACCGAGATCTTCAACAGGTACATATCCTGCACGCAGGACATACCGCCCAACACGATCATCGCGACTAGCCAGTTCACCGAGCAACTGATCGACAACACGCTGGCCAGGCAGCGCCACTGCATGAGGATCATCCAGGTGGTCATCGACAATCACCTGGCCAACAGTCAGCTCTAGATTCCAGGTTCCAGATTCCGGGATTACGGGATTACAGGATTTATGGTTTAGCGGGCCAACGTTCGAAACTTATTCACTTATGTATGTGCTTTTAGGTGTGCTCAATGTGTGTGTTCCCAGCTAAATAGAAAATAATTTTTTGTAATTTACAAAACCTTTTTATACATGTCTGCATTAAAAGAAAAAAACCTTAAATAGATGTTGGAAACAGAAAGAATAATTTCTTATTATATGGTTATATTTATAAATTATTATACATTATATTCCCGATACATTGAATTTACACCCTTAATTGGTAAAAAATGCCCTGCACTGTTGAAAACCCATTCTTCTAGGGAAATCACATCATCATCAGAAAACAAGAGATACAAATATTTGAGAGTTGCTCCCAGGAAGAAACTTCTTTGCACGTCATCCGGTTCCGCAGATCTGTTATAAACATCCATAATACCAGTATATCCTTGGGGTATTCGGCAGTATTTCTCTATTGCTAGAACAATCTGCAATCCCCAAACACGATATTTGTAATCATGAGTCAGTCGCCATAGCACCAAGTAGCTTTCCACGACCTCTGGTCGTAACATATAGTAGTTCCTCTGAAGGGGAACTATTTCCCTTTGGCTTTCTTCGGTAAATGCGAATAGATCCGGACCCAATCCCGTTGAAGAACCCCAATAAATGTCATGGCACGTGTCTGTTAGTCCAATGCCAATCTCGGCATACTTCTCCCAGTGATTCATCAAGGTTTCTGCGGCTCCCAGGACAAAAAGAGCGCCAGCAAAACAATCAGAGTGTTTCATTCGATGGGTAAGAGTACTTTTTCTCAGCTCCGTTACATAGGTGACACCCTTTTTATCTATGATAACCAGATTTTGCGCTATAGACAGCAGAAAGTCCCTTAATATATCACCACTTTGAGGATCAACTTTACCGGTTTGCATCCATGACTTAAGCAGCGTATCATAATATCGGTTCATCGAGCAGTTGTGGTTTTCCCATTTACCATATTTTGTGCAAAAGGCATTGGGATATAGACCATTCAATTTCTCGGTTTTTGCTATCCTCTGTCGAATTCCCTCCACACGATCCTTGTAAACTGAAGATCCAGTGATTTCGCTGAGGTAAAAGAACTCCAAGTGCAAGGCTCCAAATTCGGAAATGCGAGACACGTCATCCAGATACTTTGTGAGGGTGCTGCCTTCCTTTGGAACCACAAGTCTTCTGGGTATTCCGGTTTCCGTTTCGAAGGCAGGCAGAATTTTATTGGCAATATGGATGGCCTTATCTTTGTAAAGGGGATCTCCAGTGAGCGAGTAGAGTGTTAGCATAGGACAGAGCAGCCTGGAAGTTAGCTCAAAAACAGGCAAAGCTTCATCAACACGATCCAAACTGAAAGACTTTTCTATCCAATTGCGTGAACGCTTTAGTTCTTTGTTCAGACCCATTAAATGCAGCGTATCCAAGCTTTCTATAATAGTTGCTCCGAGTTTGTAGGCTCCAAAGTCACCAGCCACATGGACGCGTCCTGAAATCGGACGATATTCATTTGCGCCCCATACAGAACGGGCATAATTTCTCCAAGCGTGCAGCATCATCTCCTTAATCTTCTGCCGCATCTCAACGGGATTTATGTCCTCTATTAATATTACTTCTTCTTCCTGAAACGATTCCCTTATCAATGTCCTGCACTGAATATAGGTAAATACTATCACGACGAATGTAAGAATTCCGGTAGCAATAATCCCGATTCTTGATGCGGTATTTGCTGTATACCATTTAAAATGCGCTCGTCGAATTGCGAAATGAATGAAATACATTCTGAAACTCAGTAAGTTTGCCTTAGAAGTAAAGTTGACCGGCATTTGTGTAACCTAGCAGACCGAACTACTGGCGTTAGTTTCTGGACACTTGATTAAACATTTGAGTTCGCTTTGTTATAGAGTTTACTTCATATGTCTAAAGTAAGTTTCATTGAGTTAAATTGGGTAAAATTTACAACGGCATCGTTTATATAAATACATTTTTAATATTTTTTAGGTTGAATATTTAATAGACCTATTTCAAATCTACTGTGTAGAGATAATATTGCGCATTTGCCGAATGGCCGTCACCAGACGCGGTTCGCATCCACTGCTGAGGGTTAGGTACTGATCCGGAGCAGCCTTTAGCAGCGTGAGGATCTGGGACAACTGCAGGTTGATGGACAAACCGAGCTCCTCAAGAACATTCGAGAGGTATTCAATGTCCACGCTGAGCTGAGTGGCCGACGAGGCCGGCAGCGACTTGATTTGCAGTATTTGCGCCTGGTACAAAACGCAGCATTGCTCGACAACCAAGGAAAGCAGTACGTCGGCACAGGGAATGGCTTGCGTATACTTAATGTTGCACACTTCGAGCGCCTGTTTAAGCAGAGAAGAAGGCGAGAGCAGCAGTGGTTCCAAGTGCTGCGGCAAGGTGAGCAGATACTGACCAATCTGGGTGATGCTCTCCTGCGGCGCAAAACTAAACGAAGGCATATCAATGCCCGAGGCGGTGTGATCCTGGACAGGCGGTCGAATGTGCGCCAAGTGCGTCTCAATGGGTTGCAGTAATATATTCAGCGTTATGTCGTGTGTATCGGCAAAGTGACTTTTTAAAGTAGCATAAATCTGCGGAAAGATACCCAGGCTATCCTGGGTGGCCTCCGACTTCTTTTGCTGATAATCAGCTATGCTGTTCAACAGCTGCGTGCGAGCCGCATGATCGCAGGTCTGGAAAATGCTCAAAGGTCCTCGATTGGTTGGTTTGGTCAGCTTGTTGGCCAAACTGGCCATGCGTGTGTGCAAATCCTGTTCGAATTGATGCAGCTGCACCTGAAAGTCGGCCAGACATTGCAACTGCGACATGGTGTACTGCAGCAGGGACCAGTTTTCACTCTGCGCCGCATAACTGCTGGAACCCAAACTCAATCCAATCTGCCTTTGGATACGGCCAAAGCTCTCCAGCTGACGCTTGAAGATGCCATTGAGCAGGGTGATAAGTTTGCAAAGAGCCAAGTCACTTGTGATAGAGGCACAACGTTCGCAGGCCTCCTTTAGCCACTCGTAGAGCTTCCGGGTGCTCTCCTCCAGATGACGCACACCATCGCTGGGAGTGGCCTGCGTGGACGAAAGGCGATCCACCTGAAATGTTTTATAAATAATAAATCGAATAACTTATATATGACATTGCCTTACCTGCGTGGATAGCTGCGTTTCCTCGAGACGGGGATATTGTTGTATAAACTTGTGGAAATACTCAAAAATTGCCTCGCCCAAAAGACGGTGCAGTTCCTCGGACAAAGTAATATGCGATTGCTCCAGCAAGGAGTTCAAGTGAAGCACAAAACTATGATTAACCTGGGCAAACAAGGCCAGCATCTCCAATCTTTCATTGGAGGTCTTCAGAAGCTGTAGGATGTGGGCATCCCGCGTAGGTTGCAATGCCGGCAGCAGTTCGGCAATGACCAAAAAGGGCTGCAAGTTGTCCTCGCCAAAGAGATTGGAGCACCACTTGACCTGCCGCTGGCAGTGCTCCAGCAGCTGATCGTAGTAGAGAGTGAGGAACTGTTGCTGCTGCGTCTGTGAGTGATCCGTGCCCTGCAGCTCCAGCGTTTGTTTCCACTGCTGCTGCCAGAAGTTCTTTTGCACAGCGCGGTAATATTGCTGCAGCTGCGGCAGCCGCTGAATGCTGGTGAAGATCTGTACATAATGCTGGGCCTGCTCCGTGTTGCCCTCGGCGAAGCACTGAACTACGCTGGGTGAGGCCAGCGCCTCCAGGCGGTTCTTAAAGTCCTCCACTTGGGTCTGCCTTTCGGCATGTCCTGGCAGTTGCTCCTGGGCATGCAGGGATTTTTGCAGGGCTATTAACTTGTCGCAGACCCCCTGGAAAAGAAGGATAAGGATTAGATTTTCATTGTATTTCTGTTGTTTACCTTACCTTCAGATCATTGCGTTCGAAACCATCTTCCAGTTCGGCCAGCAGGTTTCCCCAGCCATCCGACTCCTGCAGCGACTCCTTGGCCACCTGGAGCTTCTGGCTCTTGGTGTTCAGTCGCTCCAAGGTGGCCATGCACTCGCCGGTTTCGTTCTGCACCGCAGCCACCTCCAAACGCATGGCGCTCATCTTCTCCTGCAACCGGCGAACATCTCCTTGCAGGGCGGCCGACTCCTTGGCGATCCGTGGCATGCTGGCCACCACCTGGCGACTGGACTCCTCCACGGCATTGTTTACCTGGGAATGGGAGATATTATTATTAGCAAACCAAACAGCTGGCGGATGAGTAGCTCCCAATTACGTTGAATATGTACAGCTGCAGCTTGGCCACGTAGCTCCGGATGAAGGCGGAGGCGGCGTCACTGTCGTCCTGGCCATTCTCCTCCACGAACTTCTTGTAGTTGGCGTTTATCCACTCCGCAGGACTAAAATTTGGCCCCGAAAGAGCCGACACATCCATGGTGCACTTGCTTTCGTTTGGTGACGTTGATCTAAACAGTATGACCGTTTCAGGGGAGTTGAAACTTAACACAGAAATGGGATGTTGAAATGCGGATGCGGATATTTTAAATCTATGTGTGTTTTTAAACTAATTGTCAGAATTATCTAAACATTTTACTTATTATAATTAATTATTTGTATTTATTTTTTACTATTTTAGTTGCTTAAATTTTGAAAATCAAAGTATTGTACTGACCGGAATATTGTAATCTAGTGCTTCTTTTAAATCCTAAAATAATATATTGTTTAAAACGCAATTCAAATCATTTTTGTGCATTAAAAATATTAGTAATATTTATGCATATGATGTGCGGATGTTGTGCGGATATCTCATCCGAGCAGTTTATCAAGGCGATATGGTATTTTAGGGGGACAATCTCTGCGGGCACACTGCAAAAAATACAATTTATTTTCCCAGGGAGTTTTTTGGATTTACGTTTAGTTTATTTGGTTTGTAAAACATGTCACTTGGTAATGCCGATCCTTGGCACTTGAATAACACATTGGTTGAGCAAGGAAGCACAGAGACGGCGGAAAAGGGCGACACTTTCGAGGATAACTTTACCACGCCCCCCGGAAAAGAGAGCGACTTGGAAAAGGAGGTGAAAATCGAGCCCCTGCCGGATTCCAGCGACTATCTGAAGTTACTAGGTGAGCACTTGGACCAGGAAACCACCAAGCATCCCATTAAGCAACCATCTTTTCCAGAACGGAAGCTGGCCCGGGTGCAAAAGGGCAACAAACTGCTGGACAACCTGCGCGATAAGCGGCAGGATTGCATGCGGGGATTACTCTCCTCCGAGGGAGTTCCCATTTCCATATTCGAGCAGTTCCTCGAGCTAGACGCCCCCATCGAGAGCGGGCGCCTCCATCGGCACCTGCTGCCCATTCAGGCTGTAAACGTGGGCGAAACCTTCCACATCTTGGAGCACGACGCACTGCAGCAGTCGGCAGAGGAGGCAGCAGCAGAGGAGGAGCGGCGGGAGGAGCAGGAGGATCAGCCCCCTGCTGAGCACTAAACCAAATCACAATGGACTCCACGTTCGGCAAAGTCTTCATGTTCCTCACGGATCTCGCCTGGAAATCTCGGCTCACCATCCCCATAATGGTCACCACTGCTTTCCTCGTCATGGACATCCGCCTGCAGATCGAGATCAACATTCAGTCCGGGCAATTTGTGAGTGTTGCAACAGTACTTGGGTGAACTGAATTCCCGGGAACCTGAACTTTGAAACCTGTTTGTGCTGAATGTTTACTCAATTCTTAGGAAATCTGTGTGCATTTTATTTTTTAACTAAATTTGTTGTTCTATTTTACAAAATTTTAATTTATTAAAATATTTACTTACTGAGAGTAATAGCGAATAGAGCTCTGCATAAATGGATTCAATGAATTATTTTGAATTTGTTCTTTTTATATGAATGAATTAATTAGAATTTTGACAATTTCTTTTAAAGAAGAAAACCATAATTTTGTGATTAAATCTGCCTAAATTTTATTTACTAAGCAGTTAACATTGATTTGTAAAAAATGTACCACTTTTTGCTCTAAGAAAAAGCATAAAAAAAGGTAACAAATTTAAAAATTCATAAAAATGATTCATGCAATTTGAAATGAATTAGAAAAACATTCAATTTATTTCACATAGAATTGAATTAAACAAATCCGAAATTTCCAAACATACTATGATAAAACAAAAATTGAATGATTCACGCAGGCCTCTAAAAGCGAACGATAATTTAAATATTATATACAAAAGCAAAGGTTTAAAAGTTGAAATACTCAACTCAGAAGCTCTTTCCTGTTTGTCCCAATCTTACAAACACTTTCTAAATAAACCCTTACTTAATACAGAACGCCAGCGATCTGGAGGATGCCGAGGAAGGCCTCGACGATCAGTTTGGTGTCCACGACCACGGATCGGACGACGAGAGCGGCAGTGACAGCTACACGGATGAGGAGTACAACAGCGAGTACACAAATGACGATGGGAATAACAGCGAAACGTCCCACTACAGCCTGGACATTTACGATCCCTGGGGTTCGGAGGACGAAGTCGACGCCAACTATTCGCGGGAAATGCAGTTCTAAGACACAATCTAAATTCTAGACCTAAGCGGGAGTAACTAGCTTTATTTTATGTACATATACTCAGTAATATTGAGCGCCCTATTTATCCATCTCATAATTAAACAAACGTAGTTAAGTGCAACACATCTTTATTGTCCATTCTACATGTAGAGCTTGATCAACTCGTCGCTGACGGCCGAGGGCGTCAGTCTGCCCAGGTCGGTGAAGAGCAGGGTGATGTAGACAGGTGGCGTATAGTCGACCAGAGGATGCACTTTGCTCACATCGTTCAAATGCTTGCGGGAGTACTACAAATAAATGGGATCTTAGGGGTTATTCTTAGGGTTTTTTCTATATAAACTCACCTTGTACTCGTTGGGCAGATCGCGCTGGTTGAGTGGATACAGGCGACTGAACTTAAAGCTCTCGGCCAGGACGTAAAAGGGTTTCTTCATCTCCCGGGCGCACAGGCCCATGGTGTAGGTGCCAATGCGGTTGATAATCCCGCCACTTTCCACCACCGCCTCGGCGCCCACCATCACAAAGTCCACCGATTCCATCACATAGCCAGTGGCGGAGTCCAGGATCAAAGTGCAGTCAATGCCGGCGGCATTCAGGTCCTTGACCATCTCTTCGCTGTGGATGGGTAGTATTATATATAGCTTATTTCAAAGGAAATCGTACTGCAACCCACCCAGAGTTTCCTGTGCCGCCCTGCGTCACGTAAACGTGGAAGGACTTTTTGTTCTGCGAGGCCGTAATCAAGGCTTTCAGGACCACACGGGAGCGGGAGTGCGTCAGAATGCGGCAGCCATCGGTGATGAACCTCTGGGCCTGCTGGGCAATCACCTGGTTTCGGGTTTACAAGAAGGAAAAGGTAAGTGAGCTCAGGATTAGCCACCCGTTTTGAGGTGTTTTACCTGCCGGGAGTTGAGCAACTTGGTAAGGAAGATCTTGCCGCGATTCAGCATTATCTGGCGGCACTCCTCCATGTGCTTATCGTCCAGGCTGAGGGTGATGAACCGGCAGAAGAGCTCCCCGGCGGAAACAATGGCTGCAATGGACAAATCCGTGTTCCGCATGGCGGCCACCGCTTCCCTCATGGTTGTGTGGAGAATGTGAATGGTGCCAACTGGGGTATGGGTTAAACAGGTTACGGATAATCAAAAAATGCAGACTTTTATCCAACTTACACTGCTTCTTTTCCAGAATCATGAGCAGAGTCCTGATGGCCGCAATGCCAGAGGAAAGATCCTTATCCTCTTCCAAGAGCTGCAGGAAGTATTTGACCACATCTGGGTGAGGAAACTGTTAGTAAGCATTGTCCAAACCATTAACCATCCAATTAACCCACCAAAATCCTGTCCATTTTTCGTAATTTGCGGCATTTTGATGAAATTGTGAAAAGCTACCACCGCACGTTAAACGTCAACAAAATAAACAGCTGTTCGTCAAAGGCCCCTCTGCACGTTGCAATTGGCCGAGCAATCGATAAGCCATTCGATTGACCTAGACCGCCATCGATTGGCAGATTGCCGGGACTGAAACGTAAACAATCAGGAAATTCAATGAAAATGTTTGTTTTTGTTAACAACTCATTCGGCCCGTAAACGTAGCAAAATCCACAGCATGTAAATTCAAGTAAATCGCCGGCAACGCAGTAAATGAAGAGTTCCCTTTGAGTGAGCAGCGGGAATCCCAGGGGGTAATCCTCTGGAGCGCAAAACCACACCATGTTCAAACTGGAGTCCTACATAACTCCCATTCTGCTGAGCTACGTGGCCAAGTATGTGAAGAACTTTCGCGACGAGGATGCGAATGTGTCGCTGTGGGAGGGCGAGGTCACTTTCCAGAATCTCGACCTGCGGCTGGAGGTTCTCGAGGAGGAGCTGCAGCTGCCGGTGGAGCTGGTCTCGGGCCACATCCACGAGCTGAGCATCCAGGTGCCCTGGACGAAGCTCATGTCGGAGCCGGTGAAGATTGTCATCAATACGATAGAGTTCGTGGCCAAGTTGCCAGATGGGGAGAGCAAACAGCGCAGGGCCTCCTTTCAGCGGGAGCAGCGAAGGAAATCCAAGAGATCATCGATGGAGCAACCGGATCAGCAGCAGCAGCAGCCCAAGAGTCCCGGAGCGGGTAGCTCCTCCAGCGTGGTCAACAAGATCATCAACAACATCAGCCTGCAGTGCCACAACATCATCTTGAAGTACGTGGAGGACGACATTGTCGTCTCCATGAATGTGCAGACCCTGAACTTCAGTTCCGCCGGCGAGGATTGGAAGCCCACCATGGTGGACATTCACCCAGTCTCCGTGGTCATGCGCAAGTTGCTACAGGTCTCGGATTTGACCATCTGCCTGGATAAGAGGAACACGGCGGGCAGGATTGAGGTGTGCCAGGAGCCGGTGCTCTATCGCTGCACTATGGAGTGCCGGGTGCTGCGCAAATACAACGCCAATACGGTGAGCACCTCGAGCACCACTAGGATAGGAGTGTTTACCAAGGCGCTGGACATAAATGTGTCATCCCTGCAATTTCCCATGGTGATGAGACTGGTGAAAATGCTCCTAGAACTAAAGCCAGCTGAGGGAGAGGAGGATCCGCAGAATCCGGAGGATCAGGAGGCCGTAGCCGAGGGGCAGGAGGCGCAGCCGGAACCCGCTGGCCAAAGCGTCTTTTGGTGGGCCTGGAACCTGCTGCCCAGCTTCGATGCGGAGGCGCCTTCCTCCTCCTGTGACACTCCCACAGGTCATGCCTTCGATCTGGGCATTTACGCCGAGGAGCTGAACTTTCAGCTCAAGAACTCGGAGTACTTTACCGACCAGAGCATGGGTGGCATCAAGCGGATACGTTATACACCCATTCTGAGGATCTCTTTAGGCGGACTTTATTACGAGAGAACTCTGCTCAAGGAGTGCGATTGGGCGAATGTCAAGGCGGGACTTTCGAGCATGTGCATGGAGCCACTGGGCGCCTATCGCAGCGAGGATCCCGTGGACCGCAACCTGGTCAACACCCAGGAGGTGAGTAATATCTTTAGTCTAATATAATATCTACTTACTATCTATTTTCCTTTAGTTCCTGGAAGAGCGCTCTTTCATCGACAAAAGCCTATTCGACGAAAACTACATGTTTGCCGATCGCTCCTGGTGCAGCTACAACTACGAGGACTATGTGGCCAGGAACACCGACGAGTATATGCTGTTCCGCAGTCCTGTTCTAGCCTTTGACATCATTGAGCACCGGGTGCCGAAAGCAAGCAGCCATCCGGTGGCGGAGAGCCAACTGAGAGACCTGGGACTGCGCATCCAGTATCGTTTGCTGTCCGCCGGCATCACCTTTCACTTTTCGCAGTCATTTGCGCAGGTTAAGAATGTAATTAGCGATTTAATCCGTCCTTTCGATTACCCGGGATATCATGCAGAAACGGTGAAGGACGAGGATCCCGAGCCGGAGAACAAGAACGCCGATATGACCATCCCAGATTTGGAGTATCTGATGGGCTTGGTGCCCACGTGCAACTACAAAATTGAGTTAAGGAATATAGTGTTGCAGCTGTATCCCCGCCAGCAGCAGGAGGAATCTTCGGCGATCAATCAACACCAGCTGACGACGACAGTTAAGCAATCCCTTTTGCCATATCTGCAGCTAAAGATCTCCCTGGTCGAGGGCACAATGTGTGGACCGGTAAATCCCCTGCACCTGGTTCAACTGATCACCCATCTGCAGGATAAACCTCGCGAGGTGGTCAGTGCCTGCTACAATTGCTATAATTTCAACATTAAGAACTTGGCGCTGATGATTCTGAATACAACACCGGATAATGGGCGTGCCAAACTGTTAAACATTCCAAGGATGCAGGTCAACTGGAACCGTCTGCTGGCCCCTCATCTCTGGCGTCCGAATGAAGCGGCTCTTGAGACTTCCGAAATCAAATCGGAGATCATTACTTTGGAGTTCTCCAAGCGTGAGCTGATCCTCGCCAAGCGCTTAGTTCCGCTGATCTCGAGCTTCAATGGCCCCGATCTCTGTGATTTGGCGTACATTGTAGCCCATGCCAACGCCCATTCGGATGTGATCAAGCTGCAAAGTGTGGGCACCAAACTGGGCCTAAGTTACCACAAGTATCACACACATTTGGCTGCCGTGGCATCTCTGCAAGGCATCCACACCGATGCCGTTCACACCAAGATGAATGTGCGCAATGTAGTGCTGTCCACGTCGAAGAATGCGAACAACAAGTGGCTGGAGGTGCAGTGCCAGTTTCCCCTGGAGAAGGAGCTCAATCAGAAGCTGGACAAGATGCCCGGCACAGTGGTGTGCCTTTGGCTGGAACCATTTCGCATCACCACGGACATCTATTTGCTACAGTTTCTGAACTTCTCCGATAACAGTGGAAAGCAAAAGGCGAAAGAAAGGGGTGTGTTATGGACAATATACTAGGATTATAACGTATTATAAAACTATATCTTATTTTCAGAAGCAGAATTAGAATGCGACTCCATTGTTAGCCAGTCGGAGCCACCTCTAACCCAATCGGTTTCGAATTATTCCACAATTTCTGCCCTGAATGACTTTCAACCACGTCGTATCAGCAGAAACAACAGTCGAAAGATCTCGGTTCCCGAGGAGACAGTGCATCTGAGCTCAGAACGGGATGAGAGGCACACACAGACGGAACCTGTGAGCATTCCCGTGACCAGTAAGCCTCAGCCAAGTAGCTTCGATGCCACGGATCTCGTGAAACGGCTGACCAACATGGTGGTTCTGGTGGAGATCGCTCAGGCCAAGATTGATGTATGCGAAGTAATGATGCGAAAATCACCTGCGGAAACGGAAGTAGAGTACACCTCCATCCGGCTGCCCCATGTAAAAGTTAAATCCGGCAATTGCGAGGCTATTCAGCGAGGAAACATCAGAGCAGTTATTCCCGTGGCCACCAACACGGAGCTATTCAATTGGGTCCTTGATCTAAACGAATTCAATGTGTGCTACCGCAAAGCTGATGTCACTGAGATGATTGTGGCTCCAGTTAGGACCACTATTACCTTGGCTCTGTCTCACAAAAAATCTGAGAAAGTCGAAGAAAAAACTGCAGAATCCACTGAGCAGAATACCTACTCAATAAATGTGCATATGGATATGTCGGCCATCAATATATTTGCTCAAAGGGTAAGAAGATTAGTTAGATAAACTTTCAGTTTATTTCATTTACCTTATTTCCAGGTGAATTTGTTGCATGAACACTACTTGATTCTCTCTAAGATGTACTGTTCACTTTACCCGGATGAACCGCCTTCTAAAGGGCAATCAACTAAAATAAATCCCAGACTGGAGGTCTATACAGGCAGCGCCCAAAACTATCCGGTGATAAAGGAGTTTCTGGAGCTGGATCCTAACTTTGAAGCACCCCAAGTGAAAAGTGGTAAAAAATTATACCAAGCAGTAATACAAAATCCATTACAATTAATTTTTTTCTCTTAGCTCCCAAAAACTCTATTGTGTTCTTTTGCCAATGGACCATTCCTCGCATAAGTTTTGAAATGGAAAACTCCAACGACTCGCAGCACAGTAAAATCGTTATGATTCTGGAGGACTTGCTCTTGAATATTGATAAGCATAGTGACTTTACCAAGATCACCACCAAAATAGAAAACTTTGGCCTGAATTACTACGAGGAAAGGCACCAGGAATGGGAAAAGATCGACGACTTTCACATAAAAATGCTGGGCGACAGCACAAACTTACCCTTGATCAGTGTGGTCATAACCACTGTTAGTCTTCAGGATCTATATGCAAAAATTGGCATTCGAAACCCGCACAACAAGCAGCACACCATCTCCGAGGTGCTAATCGAGGTGCAACCGATAGAAATGGTGCTGGATTTGGACCAAATAACCGAGTTTATGGTTCCCATTTGCGAGGTCTTGGAAATCCTGGGAAGTTCCGATCGCGCACAGCCGGTAAACGCACAGTGTGCACCAGTTCCCAACCAGATTACAACGGTTCAGGATCTGCCAATGGTGCATTTGAACAGCAAGGGAATCTATGTTTACCTTCCCCTTTCTACAGGCAGAAAGAGTTGCAGTGTCCTGCTGCTAAGGGTTAGTATTTCCCTACTTTTTAATAATAATAATAATAATTTATTGCATTTATTTTGCAGATTGAGAGCATTCAACTAACACCGAGTCTCGAAAATCCTCTGGTGCGACAGCTTGTGCGCCCGGATATCTACCAAAAAGCAGCTGAGCTCAATATGCTTAGCACCCCAGGAGCCTTAGTAGAGGATCGTCAGTACGAGCTGAGTGTTAGAAAAGTTTCCCTGTCCACCGGAAACTGGAAGCAGACACAAAAGTACCGCATTGAGAAGAGTCTGGCGAGCAAACATGACAATCCCGCCTTTGAGTGGAACAACCAAAGTCAATCCACCGAACTGGATCATATGGAGATATTCAAGGACTTTGACTTCATTATGATCTATGCGCCGGCCATAAGCTACGATCGATTTCAAGTCTGCGGACAAAGTGTGGAGTATAATTGCATCACTGATTTTGTAGCTTCCTTGAACACGCACCAAATCAGTTTGATTAGCTGCATTATTGTGCGTTTCCAGCGGCTGAATTGTATAGTCAATCAGGTGTGTGTGAAAAACGCCGAGTTGCCAAAGGAAAGATCGCACAAAATGCAGGGAGAAGTTTCCAAATACAGCAGCGTGGACAACTCGTTATACTTTCCACCTGATTCCAATGCGCTGAAAACATGTCAGGAAAATCTAAGCAGGAAACCGTCTAAAAAGCAACTGACTGAGAAATCAAGAAACACGAAACAAGATGCACGAGGCAGTAGTGATTTCTTCTACGGATCCTGCCAAAGCGATTCCGGAATTCACTTGGGCGGCAGTCGCATGAGAGGAAATCTAAGATCGCTTGGATCGGAGGATATTCATCGCACTGGACGTCAGCCGATTGTCTTGAGTTATCCGCAAAGTGTATCCTTTGTGGCCGGCATATTTGTGCTAAAAGTCTACGATGTGTTGGAGTTGGAGGAACTGGAAAGACCGGTGATGAAGCCACTTCTTCTGGTGACCGTTTCCCAGCCCAGCTTCATGTCCACCCAAAATCTTAAGGCAACCGTTACACAAGCCTCGATCTTTAATGTCAACATAAGCGTGGCGAACGGCGAGGCTGAGGGAAAAGAGGATTTGGAACAATTTAATGAATCTGTGTTTGATACACTACCAGGCCAACTCGGAAGCTCTGGGATTCCGCCTCCCCTGCTCACGATTAAGACCCAGTATGACCGGCTGCAACAGAAGGAAGTCGATGTGGAGCTAAGGAAACCGATCCTCTTAAGAATGTGTGAAAGCAGCATCAAACAATTGGCCAGTGATGTGATCCGCATCTACACGGTTCTACACGAAACTCCCTGCTTCGCGGTTCGTACCCAGCGTCCTGTGCCCGAGGGATCTCAACTGCGTCAGATGAAGACGAACTGCTACAATGCGGATCGATTGCACTTGTCCTGCGATCGCATAACTGCCAAATTCTACGATGAGGAAAGGACCTACAAATGCAGCTTTGTTTGGCTCGATCTCAGCACCCGCATCAAGTTCAGTACTCGTCCCCAGAAGGCTGTTATAAGATCCAATCTGGGATCCTTTTATGTGCAGTCTGGAGGCAAGATGCTGCTCCATCCCCTGCTCATGCGTTTGTCGGTGGATTTGGTCAGTGAGCCGTGGTGTGATGATCTGTTGATCAATGCCACACTCAAGCTGAATTACCTGCACATCGATGCGGGTGTTCTGAGCATTCTGCAGTTGCAAAAGGCACGGGATGGAATGTATCGGATAAGGGAATATGCTGATCAGGAGTGGCAGCAGTTTCTGCACCGTCGTCCCGTTTTGGGAACTCCGGAAGAGGTGTCTCCCTGCGATCTCATTAAGTGCACTCCCTCACACGAATCAATAGAGCGGTTGAAGCGTCCCTTGAAATCGAATGCGGAATTTTACCAGGATGACTTGAGGTGGGTAGTTTTCAAAGGGATTTTGTAATTGTATAATTGATTTTGTAATAACATTCCAGAGCCGGCGCCTTTCAGTTCGTTTATTTAAATTCCGAATCTGTACTGCCAATGCCCTACCAAGTGCAGATTATTAAGAAAAACTATGGCATCATCTGCTGGCGGTATCCACAACCTCGCCAAATGACAAGCATACACATTTATCCAGTGCCAATGCCAGTAAGTAGTCTTTATCAAGGTGTATTTATTAAAATGAACTTAACTTTATTCAAAAACAGGTAAGCAGGCCCATACATATCAGATGCCGCATGGAGTACTTCAGTGAAACGCACGAAACATTCCTGCATTACTGCGATTTCATGCTCTCGGAAACCTCCACAAAGCAACTGACGCCTCCAGATCGTCCGATTTGTGCCACCATTTGGAGGGTGGTTATACTGCAATCCTTGATCTCTGTAGATGGAACTTGCTTTGAGAGCAGCGAAGATGAAGATCTTTCGGTGGGCTTTCAATACATAACTATAAAGATAAACCTAATTATTAATTATTATTTCAGATTGAGTACCTCCAGTCGGACTTCAAAGTGGATGAAAACAACGATTTCATATTGCATCCAAAGGTTCTGGTGGGTTGCATGCGAATCGATACTGTTTTTAGGGCTGAAAAAGTGCCCAAGCTTCAGTTGTTGCTCTGTTGCCAGGACATCGAGTTGAATTTCCTGAACCAGCCAGATAACTCGGGAGAGCTTCCACATCAGCTGAACAAGTACAACCTCAAGCAGACCACCAATATCAGCCAAACGTTTCTCACTGTGCATGTGGAGGATCTGCAGATGCACTCGACCATATATTCCAGGAGGGATTTCAGCTTGCAGACTGACTTGCGCACTAGAATCAAGTGCTTAGATTATGGATTCCTAAACATGCTGGATGTCCTGGAGCCAATGAAATTCACTAGCTATCTAAGAATAACCGACTGTCCACGTTCTCTGGTGCAAGCCAACTTCCTGGTGGATAAGCTGAGGCTTAACTGCGGACCGTATGTTATTCATACTCTGCTGAGTTCGAAATACCACTGGCAGGAGGTTTTGCAGCAGAAGGAGCTGCGTCACGCATTGATGCCCAAGTGCGTGATAGTCAACCGGATACAGTCGCCCATAAGCTTTGGACAAACCGGCACGGTGGAGAAAATCCAAGTTGCTCCTGGCGAAATGCAGCTCTATCACTTTCGAAGCTGCCAACACGTTCAGGAACTTACTTTCTTCATCACAAATCCTGAAACCCGTCTGGTTGAAACTAGTGATTCTGTACACATAGCCCTGAAGTTCGAGGACGAACAAAAGGTTCATCATCTGCGAGTGGGAGACTATTGTATCACCCTCAAGTTGGGAAAACTGTCCGCCACTCAGATTTATATTCTGGTCAAGGGACAAATCGAGTTGATTAGCATGGTTCCCTTTAATCTGATCACAGAGTTTCGAGTGGAGGAAATGAGCTACGAGGAGAACAGCCCACCAGAGCATCTCTTGCTGTCCAAGGAGAGATCATCTTACTACCAGAATGTGAAGCGCAATGCCGACATCAATATGCGGTAAGTGGTTTATCTACACTAATTTATGTTTATATGTTAATTGAATTCATGTTTCCTTAGTCTCAAGTTGACCGCTGGATCTGGAAGGGGTCGCACTGGCGATATCCCACTGAAAACCAACAATAACTTGCCCTGGTTGGTGAAGGTGCCCACGCAATCTGCCCAGCAGTTCATAAGCATTTGGGTGCGCATTTTGCGCGAGGACATTGTGATGGATAAGGCGGTTGAGGACTTTCAGCCCCAGAAGATACTGATCTGCATTTGGCCGATCTTTGAGATATGCAACATGCTCAGCTGTGAGGTTCAGGCGACTGAAAATACCACCGGAGAGAGTTCTACTTTGGAAGCCAAGGGAGGCAGATGGGCTCTAAACACGGCCACCACCCATGCTACAGAACATAATGTTGGATTCACTTTCTCGTAAGTAGAAAATCTTTTTTCGATTGATTAAATCTTAGTTGCCATTTAAATTTCAGTGGTGTCCTGCGAGGAACCTCCAAGGATGAATATGCGCTCATGTTGAGGACAATGGACTGGCACAAGTTCTTTTATTATGATCCCAGCGTTTGGACCATTGAAAATGCTCTCCACAAGCTGGGAAAGTCAGCAAAGCCCAAGTGGCCACTAAATGATGCGGAAGAGTTACGCGTGAGCCGCGCTTTGCATTTTAAGAACTCTTTTGATGTGAAATACCGGACAAACGCCACGAGGGACTTTTCGTGCTCCCTGGGATTGGAGGTTACTGCCTGGGGCATGTTCATCAATGGCACCGGCTTGGACGTAAGCATCTTTATGCTCCAAGAGCAGGCACGCATTGAACTGAAAGCGAACAGTTTGGAAATGATGCCAAAGCTCAAGAGTGCTTTTACAATCGATGTGCCCTTTGATAATGGATGGATCGCCTCAACTCCTATTTGTTTGGAGGATTTCACGCAAAAAGCGATTAGCAATGCCGGACGATCAATGTTTCTGCGGAGCAATTCATTTGTGGATATAGTCATAGTGGAAAGGGACGAGGTGATGCGTCTGATACTGGAATATAGAAAGGAAGCCGACGGTCGGCGGTTGTTTAAGCTGCGATCTAAGTTCGTGTTGACCAACTTTACGGATGTGGTTCTCAATGTTCTGCCTCTGGCCATGGATCACAAGGAGAACTCTACGCGGGAGGAAGTTGAGGCATATTCCCTTTGCAAAAAGGCACGCAATCTTATTTCTGCGGACTCCAACAAGAACTGGTAAGTATCTTTAGTCACCTTTATATTTTATTGTTAATTTCAAAGTTTCTTTTCAGCATTGGCAATGCAATGGACGTTTTCTACGATCTGAACGCCCACAAGGCCAAGCACAACTGTGATACAGCATTCGTCTACTTTGTTTGCTTTAGTGTCGGTGGTAATCGGGAGATATCCATACCCATTCCCTTGGCTATACCCTTCACACGTCGCTGCTTCAGTTTGCAGGCGGGCCACGAATCCATTCCACTGATGATCACGCTAATCGAGAAGGACAATGTTCACTACTTGAACGTTTTTCGGGACACGGCACCTGCTATTGTGATAAGCAACAATACGAATGTCAAGTTTATTGTGGCCCAAACCAGTGCCTCGGAGAACAGCAATGTGACCTGCACGAACTCGGAGTTTGTGGGGAGGCATTTTGAGTGGAATCAGTTGGTCCTGCCCCAAAGTCGATGCTATTATACCCCACCGCAGATGTACGCCAACTTTCCGGATGTGGAATTCACCATGTGCAATTTATCCCTGGCTGTTTATAAAGGTTAGTTATTGGGGTAACTATTTGGTGAGGTTTTTTCAAGCTATTTTCTATTTTTCAGATAAACCGTGTGCCAAGAACAAGATCGCCTGGTCAAAACCCGTTCGAACGGACAAATCGTGGCAGAAATTCCTGCATGTTCCAAACCATGGCGATGTGAAAGTGGTGGTCTGTGATAAGCATCGAGCTATCCGCCTGAACATCTACTATATAGCTCAGCAGTTGGAGTTTTCGGTCAAGGACCTGCGATCACGGCTAACAAAGCCAGAGAATGATTTAATGCCAGCACAGGAACAGGAATCAGATGAAAAGTTAGCAGAAGATAAAGCCACATTCAAGGAACCCTTACCGGACATGGTGGCGTGTGCCCATTTCAGCGAGGAGTGCGAAACCAAACGGCAGACAAGGATCAAAATCTTTGTCAAGAGCTTTGTGTTTAGCCTGCAGACGGACAACCGTGAAAATGATTACCTTAAGACGGAGGTGTGTAATATCTATGCGGATGACTCGATGCTAATCTACGACGACGACGACGAACAGCGAGAGCTGCATTTGCAGCTGCCGAATCTGCAGGTGGATAACCAGTTGTACTCCAGTGGGAAGTACGATTTCCCTGTGCTGCTGTGTGCGGAGAAGCTGTACAAACGCAACTGCAGCCTGCCGCAGGTTTACGATTTGGACTTAGTCTATGAGCAGCAGGCACAGCGCACTCCCGTCTCCCTGTTCACATTTATATTCTACCAAGATGAAATGCAGCTGCAGAATGTGCGATGCCAGATACCGCCCTTTCGGGTGTATATAGAAGATGCCTATCTGAATCAACTGCTGGAAGCACTGGTAGAGTGTGAACCCTCCCATTGTGTGTATAGTCCGCCCGAGGAACAGGATAAAATCCTTTTGCCCGCCGGAACGACGCTTCTGCCCGACCAAGTTGTGGCCCAGTCACTGTACATATCGGAACCGTTGCGTCTTAATAGTTTTACCGTGGAGCCCCTGAGTCTTCTGCTATCCGTCCATACTTCTTCGAGGCTTTACATAGCACTGGATCACTCGCCACTTTCCTTTTCTCGCTATGAGCGGCAGCAAATCCTCACAGTTCCCCTACGCTTCGGACAATCGCTGGGACTTCACTACCTTAGCGGTGCCATTTTCGGAGCCGGCTGGGTCGTGGGCTCCCTGGAGATCTTGGGCAGTCCCAGTGGCCTGGCGCGTTCGTTCTCCACCGGTCTGCGAGACTTTGTTTCCATGCCTGTTCAAGGTCTCTTTCGTGGACCTTGGGGCTTCCTGGTCGGCGTGACCCAGGGATCAGCCTCGCTGCTGCGCAATGTGACCGCGGGAACCGTGAATTCCGTTACCAAACTGGCTGGCTCAGTGGCCCGGAATCTGGACAGGCTGACGCTGGACGCGGAGCACATCGAACTAACGGAGGCAAGGCGTAGAGCTCGACCCCAAGGCTTCGCCGATGGACTGACCCAGGGATTGACTGGCTTGGGCATCAGTTTACTCGGCGCTGTGGGCGGATTAGCGCATCATACATTGGAGGCACGCAGCTCTGTTGGTGTCATCGCTGGCCTCACCAAGGGCATAGTTGGAGCCCTGACGAAACCCATCAGCGGGGCAGCTGAAATGCTAGCTCTCACGGGTCAAGGTGTCCTGCATACGGTGGGCTTCAATGCCATGCCGCAACAGGTGGAACCTAGTTTTACGCGAAACGTCGCCCTGCACGGAAGCTCCCACCGCATTTGGAGCTATCTGCCCGAGGAGTTGAGCCACGATCAGATGCTGTTCTTCTGTGAGATCACCCTGCTGGTCAGCACGCAGCTGCGCCCAGCTTTACTGTTCCTAACCTCGTCAGTATTGGCCATCATGCAGTCGGATAGCGAAGACCTGGCCTTTGCTTCACCCGTTTCCAAGGTGGATGTGCTGGCGGACCGCGATGATCCTTCCAAACTCTACTTGAGCCTGAAATCCGAGAGGCGGGATGATCTTGAGGGGGTAAGTCACAGATAAGCAAATAGTTGTATCACAATAAAAACGTATATTTAATTTCTAGCAACTAAACTACACCAATGAGCGCATCATGAAGTTCCTGAACGCCTCGCGACTCCAAAGCATAGCCAACGATTCGCTAAACGATCTGCTGCAGCTGCACGAACAGGATGTCGACGACCGAATCCAGCGACAATCGCAGTGCATCTTCTATATTAAACCCAATATAGGAGAGCACCTGATCCACTATCTAAAGGTCATTAGTCGGATTCAGCATTGATCCTGCTAAATATGTTTCGGATTAGTCTAAAGTATTGCTAGAATCCTGTGTATTTTATGCCAAAAAAACCAAAAGACATTTTTTGTTACATTTTTGCAATAAAAATTTAAAAAGTACGAAAAGGTTTAAGAAATGTTAGTTGATCTAAGAGAAACAGTAAAAAGCAAGTGAATAATAACCATTGATTTGATTTAGTAGCATACTTTTATCTCTTGCGTTACACTTTATTCCCCTTTTTGCTGTACAATTCCTCTAAATCCCTTTCAATTGGTTTCGGCTAAAGCCGACCACAAGCCAATATTGGATCTTAAAACTTGCAGCCAGCACACGGATGCATTTTAATCAGGCCCAGATAAATCCAGCTAAGGCAAAGCCCTTGGAATTGGAGGAAACTTGTAAAAATTAACCTGTCGCCCGCAAAACCGTTGAACCAAAGTGCTTCTTATTTTTCGAGTTAAATATAATTTGCCTGGCTGTGGCTGCAGAGAAAGAAAACTAGGTTAAGTAGTGTATTTTATATACATATTTTATAGGATACAAAATTAATTAATTAAAAAATTTATTGGAATTTAAATGATAACATTTCAGACTAGACTAACAACTTAATTAGTTAATTTTTTATGATTTAAAGGAATTTAATTGTTATATTTATTGGATATATTGTATATATCCTATTCTATTTATATTGATATTTTTCCGCGTGTGCCTGCTATCCTTCCTGTTTGGCTGCCTGGATTTGGCCTTGTATGTGCGCCAGTGCGCGACCCAAAGATTCAATTATGGGCGGTTGGTGGTCGGCTCACCGCATCCGCAAGTTTGCCCGTGCAGGTCGCTTATTGAGGCCCCCGGATCCCCGGCTCCCCGGATTCCCTGGATCCCCGTTGGCCTTCTTTATGTGTTTGACATGTCTCGGGGGGCAGGCTCCAACCATCGCCATGCCCTAGCTGGGTAGCCACACAGATTTGCACACCGTTTCCGTGGGCAGAAGCCAAATGTACCTGCGTATACGTCTATTGTTTTATGTTTATAAAAGGTGGGCATTTAACGACTCTACTGTTCCTGGCCCTAAAGTTGAGCCCATTGTGTCCGCTTCCGCCTTTTGTCTCAGCTCGCATATTTATGTTGGCAGACACACATTAGCATTATGTGTGTGTTTCTTGGCTTTTTTTCTTGCTTGTGATTTTCCCTCAAAAGTGGACTGTGACTTCTTCGGAATGTTGTGACCTCCGCTCGCGGAAGCCGATGATCTTCGTTAATGAGGCCTGGCCAATATAATCCATCTGGCTTTGATTGAGTCCCCACTAACGACCTGCATTTAAAAGGCTTTCTCTCGAACATTTGTAAATATCACGCATACGCAGTGGTGCACTGGTGGCAACAAGGCCATCAACCAATGCATTATGCCGGCGTCTCCTTTCACTTTGTTTTGTTCCTGGCCTTGGCAGCAGGGGCGCAGAAAAGGGGGCTCATATGCCATTAAGATAAGCCAATTGTTAGTGGTCATTATTCGGCTAAAAACTAATCCACATATGTTATGCTTTGCCACTTTGAGATGGATTTTAATATACCATCAAAAGGGAGAGCTTTTGGAGCACCATTACTTAACGAAATAAAAATCATTAGATTATAAAAACTTTAATGTGGAGAAAATGGATTTCTAAACCTCGTCAACCCCTGGCCTACGTCCCTGTGGAGGAAAACAAACCCTTTAGCAAGTTCCTGTCGCCATCACAAGAGGCTGTACTTAAAACCTTTTCAAGGAATATATGTATATAATATATGGAAATGGAAAGCAAGTATTTAAGTAAGTCTGGTCAAAGTAGGAAGTCGTATGACTTTCGCTAATGCAAATATGGCGAAAACAATTCTCGAGAGATTTATTTCTGTGGGAGTTAAGAGAAGGCTGGAAAGTGTTCTGTAAAAAAATAAATAAATATAATAATAAAAGTTAGATAGAGTGAGCTTTAGAGTCTTTTAAATATTTAAACTTTTTAGCACAAACGTTCATAAATCAGCAAAACCCTTGTACTTAATCATGACAGGTATTTTCATTTCTCGGAATAATTCATAGCTTTTAGGAATAAAACGGCGTGGAATTAAGTGAGTTGAGGGTTGGAAATTTCACTCATGCTCCGCTGGTTTGAAGAAGTGGAAGTGCTTACACCAGGCACATAAAATAAAGTCGAAAAAAAAATCAAATGCAATTTTCTCTAAAATGGTTACTGATAAAAAATTGATACGCCAGGCGGGAAAGATGGCTTGTGGGCATAACTCGCAGCGCATAGACACAGGCACATGTGCATTCAAATTCGGATTCGTACTCGGATTCAGAGACCTTTATTCAGACGCCCCAGGCAGTTGGATTATTCATATTTAAATTCGTCTTACACCCTTCGAAGGGAGCTGGGGGCTTTCTAGATTCGCAAGAGTGTTTGCCACTCCTGTCCTGGAGTTCCCATTCCTCATCACCATCATCCCCATTCACACGCCGAATATAATATGGATGGAATAGCTGAATAAACAGAGTCGCTGCTAGAATGTTGACAGTCCCTATTTGTGCAACCGGAAAGGGAAACCCAATACAACTAGGAACCACTTGGTGATGGAGCAAGTCGCTTTATTCGCAATAACGTTTATATTCAGACATTTATATTTACACGTACATTCACATTCATAGTCATTTGTTTATTTGTTTTCCGCTTTTTTTGTTTTGTTTTTTTGTTACAACTTAAGCAAGCAGCCGTAAGCGTTGAGAATTAAGAATTAAAAACAGTTTAACTTTTTTTTAGGAACCAATCCGAATATTTACAGTGACTCAAATGGATCAGTAGTACAGCAGTATCTTAATGAGGAATTGGTTTTATTTTTAGTCTTTCCTTGCCGGCGAACGAACAACCTTTTCCAACTAAAAGTCAACGAAGTATTGGGTTTCAGATACACAGTTGGCTTTTTTTGATTGAAAATACACAATTAGTGGCTATATCCGATATGTTCCGGGGGCAAGGATTTCTTTATCCTATCTTAGCTTTGGTTTCTTTAAGAACGAATTGAAATCTAAACTATGCGGCCCTCCAATCTCATCAACCAACAATAAATGTATAAATTCGAGACCTTAAAAATAGCTTAGAGCCAGGTTTTGTCATCGGACGAATCCCGGTCAGAGATGCCGGGATTGGCCCGCCGGTAGTTGTTGTTGTAGGGCGAGGAGGAGCAGACGATCTGGGTCTGCAGCTCCAGGCTCTCCCGTTCCGGTGGCACCACCTGGATGGCCGGCTGTCAGGAGAGCAGTTGGGTGGTGTTGGCCGTACTGCTGGAATTGGTGTTACTAATGGCCGCATTGGGTCCCGACCACCTGTGCTGCATTTCCTGCTGGTAGGACATCCTCTTCCTGTGGCCACCGGATGACTGATTCTCCGCCGGCAGACTATTCCTCAGCGTCGCACTGCGGGCAGTTCCTGGGGATTGAATTTCGCAAGGAGATTATTAGATGCTACTCGCCTTTTCCCTGGATTTAGGCTCCAAACTCACCGCCGTGCGAAATTCGATGCGATTTCGGTGAGCTGGGGCAGGTATAAAGTATCGATTTCTGGGTATCTATCAATATCCATGTGAAACTCATTAGCGTGCAATCCTTTTCGGGTGAGCTTCAAAAAACTCACCATTGCGCTTGATGCGATTGTGATCCGGAGAACCCGAGCAGGAGTACCGGGATGTCAGGTTCTCCCGCCGGCTGAAGGGTTCTGTGCCCACGCGCACAAACAAACACCAGCGGAAGACCATCTTGAACCCGTAGCGAAAACTGGGTAAATACACAGACAAAACATCCAGAAATTAATTTAATTTCATATATAAAAAATAATAAAAAACACAATTAAAAATTTATTTGCAGTGAATTTTAAAAAATGTTATTAAAGTTAACGGCCATTTTTTCTATTTAGTTCTTAGTTGAAACCAATTTTCTTCAGTGGTAGAATTTTTGTTCTTAATAAAATTGATAATTCCAAATCTGTAGTAAAATTCTAAATTGGATAAATTAAAAAATTTATTTTCAACATAGTTCTAGGATTTCATATTTAATTTCTTAATTTTAAACGATTTTATGATTTTTGGTTATTCTATTTCAATTATTACAATTCAGAGAAAAATAAGTTTAATAAAAAGAAAATACAAACACGTTTACCTACTTTACTTCACAGAATCTCAACGCTGTTAGCTACATTTCGTTTAAGGCTAAAAGGATATCCACCCATTCTACATATATAATTTTTAAAGCAAAACAAGAAACTCAAAGAACTTAATATAACTTGTCCCCAAGACACCTCAATACTTCGACCCCCAAGGCGAGTGGCTTAATTCCGTATTTACGGATAACAATTCTGGCAATCCTTGAAACACATCAATTTATATTATTTATGAGCAGCTTTTTCTGTGTTTCTGGCTTCCATAGACCATCCTGTGTACTGCGACCTAGACAGCGCTTACTCATATAATCTATGGTCTGCACGGGAGTGTTTTTTACGGGCCATCACGGCAACTTAATATCCCCGTGTTCCCTATGGGTAGTAAATATAAGTAAGGACCTTCGATGTCGTTGTCGTCATCATTTGCATATGGGGCGCCATCAATTGACAGGAGCTGATCCTGGGCAGCGGGTTTCAGTCTCACGTGCTGCCCACCAGAGTCCTTTTTTTTTATTCCACGTAGGAGCCCCATTATCCCCGGTATCCGTTCCAGGCCAGCGTTTCCCCATCAGTCAGATATCCGCTGACTGAGCGGAATTAATTGCAATCCGCTACGTTTTTCCGGACACGGACGCACGAACACCGACTGCCAATTTGTACGGCAATATATGTATGGGCAACGCCTTTTGTTTAAGTGAGGATATGTGTATAACATATATATTTTCACACCAACAGGTTTTGCCAAAAAAATAGGTCTGGCAATTTGTACTATTGTAAATAGCTTTAACAGGATTTGGAAACCTCTTACAAGGGATTATAAAAGTATAATATTCGGACTACAAATAAATTGTTGCATACTTTGCTTAAAATTTAAATTTTTAAATTTGGTATTTGTATTTCTTAATTTTTAGGAAATACTTTGAGTTTGGAAATCTCTAAAAAATGTGTCGAGAAGAATGCAGTAAATCTATAATGTAGCATACTTTATGACGCATTTAGAAGAAGTGTTAAAATATTATTATACATCTTATATTTAATATTCTTGATTGTTAGATTATTTAAAATTTTTTTAACAAAATAAACCTTTTTTTTTTGAGTAACTCTGAAAATGTTGTATTAGAAACCCTGAGATATTTAACCATTAAACCATTTCCCCATCTTCCTTAAATGGCTGCCAAGTTGTGTGCTTTTAATTCGACCGCAGCTGTATGTCAGTTTTCCCGGAATCATGTTGTCATATATTTACAAACTGTATTCAAAATGCGAGACAGTGACAACCACTAACCAAAGGGGGAACCTATTGCCTGTCGCCCGTGCAGTAATGATGACGAGCACATTAATTTCCGGGGAGCCAGGGAGTCGAGGACTCGGGTATGTGGCCAACCCAACCAATCAACTAATCTGTCGACGGGGCTCTTGCCAAGATGCCGAAGTCTTGAATGCCACTGCACTTAGTGCCCTAATGGTGCTAATTCAACCGCAAATTACCCAATTTGCTGCGGGTTAAAGCAACCACGCATGTTAGATACTAAACTACATGGAAACTAAATAAAGTGGCAATCGATTCAGCTACTCACCGCGAATTCATCCAGCAGTATATAATGGGATTGTACATGGAGTTGCTCATGGCCAGCCAGTAGATGGCCAGGTAGAGCTCCTGGATGAAGGGCGCCTCGGTGATGGCCGGATAGCAGGATGTGATGATGAAGTAGCTGTGGAACGGCAGCCAGCAGATGGCGAATATCAGGACGACCACAATCATCATCTTCACCACCTAAAGGAAAAGAGCGGAAACTTTATGGTCACAGCGTGTATTTTCAAGGTGTTTTGAGTTTTATTATAAAGAGTTAAAAGCCATTAGTCTATTTTTGTGGCAGAGCAGCATAATCAAATGTGATGTCAACAGAAAATGGCTGAAATGCAGCAATGCAATGTTGTCACAAAATGTCAGCTCTTATGAAATATTTATATTTATTAAAGTTACCTAGAATCTAAGGATTAAAATCTGTAAACTAAATCTGTTATTCCGGGAAAGTAATTTCCTCAACAAGTTTTCAGAAAGTGCAGGTAAAGTTAATCAAAGCAATTTAACATCAACAAAGGTAACCAAAGTTATGAGAAGTTTTCGGAAAAGTAATACAAATTAAACTGAAACTAAAGCAGCTAGAAACACATTTGCAATAAAGGAAGCTTAATATTAATTCGAAATAAATGGTAAGTTTATGAATTAAAAAGAAATTAAATGTTGTTTATTAAATTAAAGTATTAAAGTATTTATCATTAAATTAAAATTAAATTAAAGTACTATTTTGTGGTGCAAATACCTAATTTATGAATTGGGCACTACTCATTAGATTAAAGATAAGAAGAATTAAAAATTTAATGAATTTCCACTTTTCTTTATTAACCTTATATAAGAAAAAATAAACTAAATAACTTTTAAATTAGTTTTCGTAAATTGCTTCTCACTTTAAATCAATTTAATTTCTTTAATAGCAAGGGGTCTTATAATAATCCCTTGCGAAACATGGTTAAGATTCAAATCTGGGGTCTGCCAAAAGCAAGTGCTAATTGTGGTGCCCACATGGGAGCCCTGAAACCCCTAAAAACCCCAGTACTTACCCTCCGTTTACTCCGGACATTCTCCACCTGACGGGGCGTGCACTCGCCAATGGTCTTGGATCCCCAGAGCTCGATGCCCACACGCGAGTAGGTGACCGTCATCGAAACGATGGGCAGGAAGTACGTTAAAATGATGATGAGGATGTTGTAGCTAAACGACAGAGGCAAAAGGCACAAATAGTAATAGTACATAGATCAAACACCATGTTTACAAGCCTTTCAGTTAGCCGAGCAATGCTTTTAAAGCCCCACTCTATCGCTCCATCGGACATTGTTGCCTGTGCTTCTGGCTTTTGTTTTATTTTTTATTGAGCAAGTAGCAATTTGGAATGAATCTAAAATTAATGGCCTTGCATGTGGGACACAATGCAGGACGTAGGACGTAGGACGGAGGACCCCCACTGCTGCCCAAATTGCCATACAAAATGGCTGTAAAAAGCAACACGTTTTATATGCCCCTCTTCCTGATTTTCACCCCTCGGATATCCAACAACCCAGCCACCCATTCTGCCATTCGTTTTTTATGAGAACGTCTTGGTTCAGCTTTGTCTCCGAATGTCCGCTTTTACGACCTCATCCCTATCCCAATCCCCATTCCCGATAATCCCCATGTCCCACTGGAGATCCAAATTCCGATTGTCCTCGCATGTGCAACCGCCAGCTTAAATGACGCTGTGATTTTTTGATTTACACCTTCATCTCGCTGGCAACCGAAAGCATGGAGATTTCCTATGCACTTTAATTAATTTTGATACCCATATTCAATGTTACTAAAAAGCTATTCTGTTCTTAAGAGGTTTGCATATTTAATGCCGTTTAATTCGTAGGAAAATAAGTATATTTTTAATATTCTAGAACTTCTTCCCAATTAATAAAACCCAAATATATTTAGTTTTTCGAAAACGATTCTTCCCTTAAAATATATTGCAGTCGAATTTATTTCCTGTGTACTAAGGAAAAAGTTCCTTTGTTCCAACTGCTGGATGGGATTGAAATGCATTGACTAACAAGCTCTGACAACTTGGGCACGCATAGATTCGGCTGACTGTAGCTCGTTCTTTTCACCGTGCAAAACAAAAAAAAAGTGCATGAAGGATACTCACAGCGTCTCCAGCCTCGAGTGATTCGTGTCCCCGTCGGGCCACTCCGGATAGCAGACGGTCCGGTTGCTGGCCCCCTGCACGGGCACCTCCTCCGTCCGGTAGATGATCATCATGGGGCAGGAGATGAGGGTGGAGGCCAGCCAGATGACCGCTGCAATGGCCAGATTGCATCGCTTGCTCATCCGCGGCTGCAGTGGCCTTATGATGGCCACGTATCTGCGAAAAGGGTGCTCCATTTTAAAACAATTTTCAGACTACGCTCTCGAAAAAGAAAACTTTTCGCCGGATGGGGGTCCTTTTGGGACCCCAACATAAGCTGATTATCGGAATGCACGAGGTCACCCGAAAAAAAGGCTCCACAAAATGAAATTAAAGCGCGCGAAAGCCCGAAAGTAATTTAATCTGCGAGTTTTGGCCTGCGTGGAGCTGTGTTATTCATCGGATCACGGCAGGCCATTAAAAGTCGCAGTCATTAAGGGAGTTTATATAGAAACCTAATAGCTGGGATAGCATTACATATATGAGCTCCCATGTTCTGGATTTTTAATAGATTAATTTTCCTGGTTTGGGAATTTTAAATGGATTCATTTTTGATGACTTCTTCTGCCTGGGAAACATTATTTATATGTCCTGATTTACTTGAATTTATGTGCTAAGAAAAAACATTATTTATGTTTAGTAAGTTTGTACAGAATTTATTTCCCTAGGATTTCCATTACATTAATTTTCGCTAACCTACTAAAACATTATTTATTGTGATACTTTTTTCAATGTCTTAAAAAAGTTAAGTAGATTAATTTTCTACAAAAGTAAGGGATACAATTTTAGCAATAAATAAATGTTTGCTAAATGCTTTGCCTCAGCAGTTTGAACTTTTGGAAATTTATATTATACGCACGACTTGTTGACTTGACAGTATATTTTAATTTATATGCCTGCTTTCGACTTACGATTTACGAACGATAAATCTTCAATAAATATTTGCGACTGAGCAAATCGACAATTATTTATAAACAATTCAATTTGTTTACTAGACAATAGATTTCAATGAAAACGCCTTCGAATGCGAAAGGGATTACTCTTCCCTGCAAGAAATAATCACTAAGCATTCGGAAAATATTATTTATAATCTTTCAAGTTATTTGTCGGATATTTTGTTTACCAGGCGGAATAATTCGATTTGCCCTCTCGATATTTCAAAAGTAGATGAATCATCAATAAATGCTGCGGCCTAAGTAGATGGAACATTATTTATTTATGTACTTTTCGGGGTAACACACGTATTTTGATGGGTTTTTATTTTGATCCCTGTGACGGGCAATCCAATTGTGTTGGTGCTCCCATGCAGCCCTATGAAATCCTATTAAAACGAATGGGTTATTTGGCCTGTGCTTTTGACCGTGATTGATAAGGGTCTCGATAGGTCGGAATATTTTGCATATGCATATGGATATGATGGGGGTATGCGTACAATCCACTCACCTGTCGATGGAGATGGCCATTAGAGTGAACACGGAGGCGCAGATGCTCAACATGGCGATGAACTGGGACAACTTGCAGTAGAACTCGCCGAAGGGCCAGTCGCTATCCAGCATATAGTAGTAGTTGAAGGTTACATTCAGACTGGACACCATGGCATCCGCGATGGAGAGATTCACTTCAGGATTCATGATTTGGCAACCGGAAAAGGAAAAGACAGGTAATCATTGAAATCTTTTCGCCTGGCAAAAGGCAAACAAATTATGCAAAACAAACAACAAAGAAGATTTTTTCATAATTACTCAAGAAAACAGCCCGACTTACCTTTTATTTATGCGAGGTACCTACATTTATAATTACCCAAATTAGAGAGGAATGAAGTGCACTTTTACCCGCATATTTCCACAAAAATCAACAGGAAACGTAAGATGTATAAGAGATACATACTTTCACATTGTGTTTCATTTGCATGGAGCGATTTACATGCCAATGAATCAGCAGCCATAGACAATATAAAACAGGGGCCACGAAAATAAAAGGGAAATGGAAGCGTTGAACAAGAAAAAAGAAAAGTCTGTCTTTGTTTACTTTTCATTATCTACTGGCGAGATAAGGCGACGAAGTGCCGGGGAATAGAAAGCTTCACGAAACCGAAAAACAGCACCTACAATAAAACAAATGTCCCTTTGCCGAACATTAGCCCTGTGAGTCCTGTGTGTCCTGCGAGTCCTGCGACGCCTACAAAACGACACGAGGCGACGTGTCGCATCCCAACAATCTTAACAATCGACCTGGCTCCCGGGGCCATTGACTATGCCCATATAGCTATCTGGCTAGATGGCCTCCATTATCCCCGGGGCCCGGACCTGTCAGCCACGTACCCAAAATATCGATTCTGGCCCATTTTAATTAATAACAAAATGTTACTTTTCAAGCCCACAGTCCTTCCAGGGGGTACACTTTCTCAGCGAGATAGCAGGAAAATCATTTATAAACCGAAGAAAGTTAAAATGTTTTCCTTACAGTAAAGTTTAATTAAAGTAGACATTGAAATCTTTAAGATTCTGTAATCACTTAAGTAAAGTGGTTTTATTTAAATTTTAAAATTTGGTTCCAAAATTGTAGAGATCCCTGAATCATCCCGTAATAGTTTTAAATTATTGCTTTATTTTAATAAAATCATTTATATATTTCTGTAATTATTTTTAAAGAATGAACTGATATTTAAAATAAATTTAGAATCTTCTTTTTAGATCTGTGATTTTAGTAATAACCCCAAATATAGGGACTGTCAGAAATAACCAAAACTCATTAATTTATTCTACAAATAAAAACTCATTAAACTACCTTATCAAGGACCTCCAAAATACACAAGAAAGCTAAGAGTCCCCAATTATAAACGATACTCTACCCAACGAACTCAAACAAAAGATGCAAATACGCATTGATAATGAACCCAAAGAAGATTATCATCCGGTGACTGGCTTCCCCCAAGCTCAAACCCCCCGAAAAAAACTCCAGATGTCTGTGATGTGAATTTGAAATTTTTCGGTGCGCCCAAAAATGATTAAAACGTCAGAACTTGTTACTAATAATGATTGCCAATGTGTATTTATAAATGCAAATTCGAAAAGCCCGTCGAGCTCAACGGGCATTTAGTTTACGTAATAATAATAATAATCATTACCGAGTCAGACAAAAAGGAAGAGGGCCAGAATGGAGGGAGGATGTAGATGGTTCGGGCGAACATTGTGCCTCTGCCATTGTTATTTTCTATATCTGTAAGGGTTCTGAAGGGGGATCGCCCTCGTCGAACAGAAGAGCTGGATTAGTTGTAAGCTGGGCATAAACGGAATCAATTCCAGGTTCATTTTATTGCCCCCTGTCTCAAGTTGCCTGGCGGGGTATTATATTAAAATAATTGTGCATGCACAAAGCCGGCCATTCAAGTATCTCTGCAAAATGTCGGTAATGTCATTACGATGATAAACTTTGGCCAAACTTTAGTAAAACTTTTGACGAGTTCGGCCTCTCTGAGCGTGCATATTTAAAAATATTAAAAGTGTGATTAGTGTGTGCCAGACTCAGGATGAGCCTGCACAAATGCAAATTTAATGCACTCCGAAACGTGACTAAAAGCATATTCAATTAATGAAAGCCGAGCTCAGTCTTTAGCAGGCGAAGCTTCATAACTTGATTTGATGCCCAAAGCTGAGAAAATTAAAATTAATACCATCCTGGCGCTGGGCTTCTCCTCCACTTAGGCGAAATTGGCAAAAAGGGTGGAGGGAATTCGGGTGGCGGGTCTGCAAAGTTAATATCTGCGAGGTGCAACAGGGCGAATGCAAAATGCACAGGAGGATGGAAGGGGGACAGCAACCAATTCAGTTGCGCTTTAAGTGCACCACGGTGCAGCAGCAGCCATAAATAGGTAATTCACCCTTCATTTTTTCCCCGGGGAAGACTTAAACAAACCCTTCCGTCTGACAAGAGCTCGTCGACCTGAACTGGACAAACTAAAGGGGGAAAAGTTACTCCCTAATTGGAGGAAAATGTATAAATGAAGAATGGTGCTCGACAAAAATCTATAGCCTCTGTTGATTAATGACAAACAATTGAAAATTGCAATTTACAAAGTAACTATGGTTTTTAAAATCACTTATAAAGGAGTCGAAAAGTATGCTATAAAACGACGAACTTTTATTGCATACTTTTGGACACCTTTAAAATTAATTTAAAATCCCTTGTGAGTTTTGTGTGTCACCCTTGTAGATATATGACAGAAATATCTGCACACTAAGCTGGCAAATATTTAATTTACAAGCTAAACACACACACGACCCACCCGGCGTATGAGTGATTTTTATTGCGTATACGCAACGTTTGCACACACGACAAGCCTACTCACCTATGAAATAGTTGGTTACCGTCCGCATCCGCTTGGTCGTCATCACGATCCAGACAACAATCAGGTTGCCGCCCGTCGCCACAATGACCATGCCGCCGAAGAGGATGCTCCAGAGCACCTGACGCCACCACGGGACCACAAATGCAAACGAGCCCGTCTCCATGGACGCCGCCGCATCCTTGGCCGCATCCTCCACGCCAACGGTGGCAGCAGGTAGGTCGGTGGATAGTCTATGTGGGTTAGAAGGAGCACAATGGGGAATTAGTGACATCGAGATTAAGTGTGTGTTATGTTTCGCCACCGCACCGCGTCCCACCGCCGCTCCGCCATAAACGAGTGCCAAGTGGGTGATGTGTCTATGTAAGCATGCGAATGGGTTCTTTCAGCTTACAAGCAAAGGTGCATGGGAAGAAATACTTACAAATAAAAATATTTAGGGAAAATATTTATGGTATTTTTCAAAAGTCTTCTTTTCTCTTTAAATAAATTGCTAACTTTTCATAGTTATTATTTCATCTTAGTTTTTTGTTGCATTAATTAGTTTAACATACATTTATTAACAAGTAACCTATATGAAAAAATGATTTATAATAAAATGGTTGAAAATAAAAAATCATAAAAAATATTAAATGTATTAAAAACGATTACATATTTTATTAAGAAATTGTTACTTCTCAAATAATAAATTTCTATTATTATTTAAAAATAAGTAAATTTGTTTTGCGTGAGGCGAAAGTTTATTTAATTCCCCAAACCCCAAACCCATTTTGATTTTCTCTCTGTGTAGCTCTATGTGCGACTCCAGGATGTTGTCGCTATTAAGCGTGTGTAATTGTGCGTGCGTTGACAAATCCGTGTTTTTCTGCAGCGCCGTCTGCCACATAAAACATGGGGTTCCCGGGTTTGGGTTTGGGTTCGGGTTCGGGTTCAGTTCAGCCGGAGGGCAGGAGACTCCGCTCCACTTTACACCATTCCATTTCATTCCACTCACTCATCGGCGGTTGTCGTCGTCATCTTTTTAATATTTCGTGAGCCTCGGCTTGTTTATTTAGGTTCGCTTCTAGGAGAGTGTTTAAATAGAGGGAGGCTCAGTGGATTTGTGAGGCAAGATCCCCGTTAGTCCGCCATCGGACACACAAACTGGGGGGCAGGACACCCTTGCTTCTTCCATCTACCAGGACACCATGTCAGCCATGTCATTTAATATGCACGCAGTGTGCTAAGGAGATGGCACTAAATTGGCTAGGTAGTCATTAATGCTCTGTTTATTCACTCTTCAGAGCAATTAAAAAGATGCCCACATAAGTAATTCTCACCCTACAAACACACACACAAAAACACCCTTTTTCGCATGACAAACTGCGGGGATTTACATAAAATCTCTTTTGTTCGAGGGCCTAATGCAAAGAGGATTATTGATTTGTTTTCATGGGGCCTTTAGATAGGCCCATGAAAAGCAGAATGAGAATGGCCGAGGGGGAAAAACAGAATCGGAAAATAGAAGAGTCAGAGAAGCAAATTCAGGATGCCTAGGGCCAAAGAAAATGTCATGACAAAAAGTACAAAAAATGTTGCTACTATTCTGATGCTTTTCGCTACCGAGGTCTCCCACCATTGTTGATATTGATGTTGAGGTTTAAATGGTGCAGATGTACTGGGAAATGGAAAAACCTATTCATAAATTTAGATAGTTGTATTTGGATACCTAGATATTTATTACATTTAAAAAACAAGAGAAAATAATGTTTTAAAACCTTTTAAGACTAAAATAAAAATTTAACTTGCTCAGAAAATGTAAAATAAATTTTTTAAAAAAATTCGGCATTAAATGTCAAATTGCCATTTGTTACTCTGATGTTTATTACATTTTTTAACACATTATTGAGACTTAAAAATCCGAAAAAAATCCTATGCAAGCAAAGAAACTTTTTAAATCACTTAAAAATATCTATTGTTCCCTTGTCATAATTATTATTTTCCGTAAATAAATATTTCGTTTATTGAAAAGTTTTCTTTTACAATTTTTTTTTTAAAGAAATACATATGAAAACGTCTAAAAATACATCAGATAGCAATTAACCTTTGTCTTTTATATTAGTTGTTATGGGAATATGGACACTTTGAGCAAATAAAATTGTTATTGTGCCCCTTCAGTGAGATGTGTACAAATATGTTTTTGCTTTGATGCACGACGAATTCTTTTGTGCCGAAAAATATGCCAGCGCAAAAGTATATCTCTCATCCTCCACATTTTTTTTTTTTGGCCAACTTCGGTTGCCTTTTATTTGCACATAAATCGGACGTAGTGTCTGCGCAAACAAACAGAAAACTCAGAAGGGAAAAAAGAGCAGCAGCCAATATGATGATACTAGGATTGAGTGTTGAGCCACTGCCTGAAGGATATATAGGCTATGTGGGCTGGCAAAAAAATATATTTTCGATGCGTCAGACGCAGCCATATCCCAATAATTATCCCAGTTCGACTGTCGTAGAGCAAACCCATTTGTTGCTGCTGGTACGCAAAGTGGCAGTAAATTTGGGACATGTCTGCAAAAAGTGCCGACGCTTTTTCAGCCAGGAAAGAATAGAATTGAATGCCATTGGAACCCGCAGTTTTTTGTATGCTTTGCCTTCTCCGCCGTTTTATGTATTTGAAACGGAAGTGAAGAACCAACGTCGAGCGGCCTGAGCGGAAATGAATGAATGAGTGAGTGAATGGCGGAATGACTGAACGGAGGCGTCATTAGGGATGCACGTTAGTGTGGGCACAATCGCGAATAAAACTGAAGCGGAGGCGGTCTCATCAGGACTCATCAAAAAGCCACGAAATCTAAGAGTTATATGGCCTCATTCCCTTTTTATGAAGCAGCAGAGTATAGTGGGGAATTTGGGGGCGTAGGCATCACTTTTGGATTTATAAATATTGATTTCTTTTAATTAATTTGCTCTGAATGTATTTTATAAATTAAATTTTAGTTTGTCGTTTATAATTTTAAATTATTATAACAAAAATTTTTAAAAATACCATGGTTTTTTAATATAACATATAATAAAAATTAAAAACGATATTTAAAAAAATGTTATAACGGAATTAAAAATTAAGCAATAAAATAAATATAAAATACAAAATTAAATTCATTTTTATATTGAGAATCAAAAATCCTAAATTAAAAATTTAACAATAAAATAAAAAATTATTAAAAAATGTTATTACAAAATAAAAAATTAAATGTATATGTTTCTGTTTATTGAAAATTAAAAACTAAGCCACCTCAAGCCGAAAATTCTGTTCCATTGCTAAAATATACTCTATTCGTGCGTGTTTTCCGGCATTAATTGGGACTGTGTGTCATAATTAGGCATTAGAACGGGGGATGCGGGCTCAACTCACGTTTGGCTGTGATTGAAGGAGCTGGTGGACTGGCCGATGTCCTGGCCAAAATCGGGGAGGGCGGTGTGGTTTGTGGTCGAGAGGACACTGCTCATGGCCGAGTAGAGAACGGCCGCGGGAGTTGACCAGTTGCTCCAATTGCTCCAGCTGAGGTCGGCGTAATCATCCGCCTCGAAGTCACTGCGATTCTCCATGGCGTCTTGATGTCCTAAGGTTCCGCACCCCGGAGTGCTTTCTCTTTGTCTTTATCCCTGCAAAGGGGATTTCCGAGTTAATGTTGCGTATCCCTTTTGCCTTTTCCTTATTTGCTTTCCATTTGCCAACTCCGCCAACCTGAAAAATGCAAAGAAATTGTTAGACAAGACCATCTAATTTCATTTCCAGGAGGTTTTATTTTATTTTATTTTATTTTGTGATCTTTGTTGTTTGTTTCAAAACAAAGCTTTTTGATGCTCATTTACAGTGAAAAGTTTTCACATTCCTCCTACGTGCTTATGGTACAAGTATTCATATCGATTTTGATTTCTTCTTGATTTTTGTTTCATTTTTCGGTACGTGACTCATTCTCGCCCTATCTCAAGCTCTTCCTTAGAAGTTTTCTGTGGTTTCTTTCTAGTTCTTTGAATAATCTGACTTAGGACTTCCCTTACAGCAAAGTTCCTCAAGTGTGTGACTCTTGAAAAGATTGAGAGGTGGTGGCCATTAGTGAATCGGATACCTTGGAAACTTTGGGAACGGTAAATGCCGGTGATTTGTCCAAGGCAAAAGTTTTTCTACCGTTTTCGCGGCAATAATACTAATTTATGATTCCGAACGTTAATGAATAGCAATCGGAAGAAAGGGACTTAAGCTGCTTAATTAAAAACATTTACTTGGACATTAAATTAATAATAACTAAAGTTTTTTCATTAGGTATACTTAAAAATAGCAAGATATTCTTTAAAATCAAATGTGTTTTTTAATATAATCAATATTCTAGTTTAATTCTTTCGAGATTTAATTGTCAAGAAATAGAAAGGTTATGAAAGCTATAAAATTATCATTGCAATATTAACTTTAAGTACTTTAAATAAATGATATTTCCCACAAATTGTTGTTGAATGGCCCTAAAGCTAAAATAAATTCTTTATTATCTGTAGACTGGTGCGTTATTATTTGGACAAAAATAGCTTCAATCCAATTGAAAAAGAACCCAGTGGAGCTATTTCTTTTTATGCGTCCCCCGAGCTAGATTCACCTGCCTTTCGAGTGTCTGATGACTCGCAAACAATTGTTTCAAACGGCGACAGTAAACCTTCTCTTTGCCTACTTTTGGGCCATGCTGAAAGGCCAGGATGAGTGGAAAGGTCCTTCCTTGGAGCAACCTGCTCGTCCTTCAATTATCCCCGAGATCTGTCCCTGGCAGCTCGAGATAATTGCGACGGCCAGTCGCGTCACTTGAAGTTTAACAAAACGATAATCCGAGTAGCCGCTTCACTTTCCTTCCACGCGTTTTTATTACATTGCTTTCATACTTTGTTACCAGCCAGCAGTAATGGAAAAAATTCAACTGTGTTTACCCAGAGAAAGTGAAAGGTATGAGTAGGAAAATATTCATAGGTCAGGAATAATGTAGGCCCATTTTAGTGACCGCCGAAGGTTAAAGGTATTAATACAATTAAAATATTTTTTTAAGAATGATCCGTTTAAAAGGAAAAAAAAGTAATTTAAAGATAATTTCGTGTTTCGTTAAATAATTTTAATTTATTTGTTGGAAATAAAATAATATGATTTATAAATTATTTATATTACTAAAAATTAAAATATTCTCATTTTATTTTAAAGAAAATAAAAGTATGTACTCTTGCTAAACGATTAAAAAAATGTATGTGAGTAAAAACTCAGCTAGATTATAATTTTCTTTCTCTGTACTAGTTTATCAAATAAAAACACCTCTTAACGAGGTAAAAAACTAGTGACGACCGCACCTTCAACATACAAAAGTTCTGATATCAACATTTGTGACGAAAAATTATTACACTCGTCATTAAATAGACTTTCTAATATTTTCTCATTCGGCCCGCCCTAGCAAACTATTCCAACCTTTTTCCCTTCACAGGCATTTTCTATTGCAGCGTGCCGAATGAGAAAATATTAGAAAGTCTATTTAATGACGAGTGTAATAATTTTTCGTCACAAATGTTGATATCAGAACTTTTGTATGTTGAAGGTGCGGTCGTCACTAGTTTTTTACCTCGTTAAGGGGTTATATACCTTTTTTGAGCGAAAAAATTGAGGGAACTTTGGATTTTTTTTCAGGTGTGTAGCAATTATTTTATGAAACTGAAGTTATTATTTATTGATAGTACATGTTTTTATCGAAACAACAAGCGTTTGATCTTGAAAATATATGAATAATTTACAAAGTTATGGCAATTCTCTCGGAACCCTTTTTTATTTATAGCGGTTTGCGGTGACCACGATTGCACAAGAACTATTTGATCGATCTTCTTAATTTTTTTTTTAAATTATTCGTAATGATTGTGCCGAGTTCGTGAACGATTCAGTTTTTATGCGTTAATTTTGATTTCGCAGAAAAAAATTTTTTAATAAAATTTTTAGTACTCGAAAAATCAACTTTTTGGAAAAATTGTTACTGTATGCAGAAAAAAGCAAATATTCTTGAAAATAATCGTTCACGAACTCGGCACAATCATTACGAATAATTAAAAAAAAAATGAAGAAGATCGATCAAATAGTTCTTGTGCAATCGTGGTCACCGCAAACCGCTATAAATAAAAAAGGGTTCCGAGAGAATTGCCATAACTTTGTAAATTATTCATGTATTTTCAAGATCAAACGCTTGTTGTTTCGATAAAAACATGTACTATCAATAAATAATAACTTCAGTTTCATAAAATAATTGCTACACACCTGAAAAAAAATCCAAAGTTCCCTCAATTTTTTCGCTTAAAAAAGGTATATAACCCCTTAAGAGGTGTTTTTATTTGATATCAGAAGTTTTTGTTTGTTTACTTTTTCTCTCATAGGAGCTAATATATACATTTAAATTTAAATTGGTCAATCATAATTTTTAAACTATTGTATTTTAACAAATTGAGTTAAAAAGGCGTTGAAGTATTTCAAAATACCTTTTAAACGAGGTATAGCACATGTCTGTACCTTTAGTAGTGTAGAACTTACAAACTAACGAAATTTAGCTATTTTTAGCTCTTTCCCGCTAAAGTAGCGGCTTTTTCCAAAAGTCGTAGAACAAAAGATTCCTATATGGAACTCTTAAGTGCAAATTTACTGATTCCATGACCCTAAAATACAGTTCGGATACCCTCCCACAAAATTCAATACTCAGGGAGCGTTAATTGTTCGAGCTGGCAACAGTGGCTATTTTCGTATAAAAATAACTATTAAACGTGACTTTTTACAGTAATGTGTTATATACCAAAATTTAAGGAATCTCAAGGGCTATACAGTTTAAGGTTTTAAAGAAAATCGTTAGAGCCGTTTTTGAGAAAAATAAAAAAAGCTAAAAAAAAGTTTTAAAAAATATTCTTTTGTTCATATTTTTTTAACTATTACATTTACACAAATTGCATATAGAAGGCGTTTATAGCATTTCAAAATACCTTTCAAACGAGATGCAGCACAAGTCTGTAGCTTTAGTAGTATAGAAGTTACGGCTTTCCGAATTTTAGCTATTTATAGCTGTTTTCCCGCTAAACTAGCGAGTTTTTCCAAAAGTGGTAGAACAAAAGTTTTTTATATCGATGTGATGAACGTCATATCAAATTTTCAGAACTTAAAAAACATGTTTTGGACAAGTGGACAAACAGAATTAAATTTTCATTTTGGGAAGAAGAAGAAAATCTTATTTTGGCTATAACTTTTGAACGGAGCGTCGGATTTTGACAAATGACCCCTCATTCGACGGGTATTTTCAAAAGGAATACAAGTAAATCATTGCGAGGGGGCATTTATCCCCACCGGCCCCAACAGCTCCAAATTTCTAAATTTTTACTTTTTCACTTTCACCGCTCTCTCTCCCAATCCAATTGATTTTCTTAAAGTCTTGGTATGCAATCCTTTAAGTTTTTGCAATACCTTTCGATTGGTGTATTACTCATTACGATCTGACTATCACAGCAGATTTTCATTTCTTCGTGTATATATAGTAGTCGCCTTCGCACACTCTCCTGGTGCGCTTCGTCACTACATGGACTGCCGTCCATAGTGATGTGTCGGAATACCACTTTATCAGCCAAGTCAATATCTAAAGTGTGCCTCGGTACCCCTGGAAACAAAGATGCATCCCGTTCTCCAGAGTCCAACCATCGAAAGCTATTAAACAAACATCGATGCGGGCAGAAATCAATTGCCGGCAGCTTGTCTGCCGAGGAAATGATTACAAATAATGACTACAAATAGACAAAACAAAGCATATGCCACAGACAAATTAATAAGTTGGTTCTGTTTCTGGTTTGGTCGGCAAAATGGAAACTGGCGAGCTGAAGTGCAAGTGATGCAGTCTTAATGAAAGGCAAACAATCTTCAAAAAGAATGTTCACCATAATTGGCAGATCGTTTCACGCCCCCGAAAAAAGTAAACGTTCGATTTCAGCAAATATTTGAAAAAAATAAATTCTAGCTAAATGTTCAACCAACAAAAAGTTGGTCACCCATTTTTTTAAGGGAATTGAGTAATGTTCTTGGTGTCCCTTTGACTGATGTCCGTTGAAAATTGCGTTTTCTGCAATAATCGCAAAAAATTAGATTCCCGGGAAATTTCAGTGAACTTGAAAAATGGCCAAACTGTCACGTTCCATTGGGCAGCCACCGAAAGTGATGGAGAAGTGCTGATGTTGTGGAAAGTCGTGCGGGTTGCGTATACGCCGTGTTGTGCCATCAGTTTTGGACGACCGACTTGTAAACTTTTAAGCGAATTTGTCTCGCTGACTCGCGATTGTTTTTCTCGTTTTTTTTCAGACCACTAGGTCTTTGTTTATGGCATCAAACCCAGATAGACAGTAGCAGCAGTAGCCCTGCGAACTGGGAGCTCAGTACTTGGAAGTAGAAGTGCTCCAGACACCGTCGGGCTTTTCAAAACGTCAGGGTAAACACTTTTAAGAGGGCTCCGCCGAACTATGGACCACCTTGTTCAAACGGGGAAATGCAAATATTCCAGTTTTCACATGAAGCAAACGTAAAAAAAAAGTTACGCTGCTCATAATTTAGAAATTATTCAGTAGTTTTATTTGTAAAATGTAAACATACATTATTTCAATATTTCAATTGAAAAGTGTTTATTTCACAATGGTCTTAAAACCGTTTGAAAAGGT